TTGAAAGTTATTCTGAGTGGTCTTGGATCTAATAACATGGAGCTTGATATACCTTATATATACATACCATCTAAGCATGCATTTGTGTAGAAACTAGTCTCTTTCAAACATCATTTCTTCATCTTTGTCCCATTTTCATTTTATTTTAGGTTTACCATGTATTTAGGCTAGACATTGCATGTTTGGTGCATTTGGAGTGTTTGGCAGGTGATTTTGGAGTGTTTGGAGGCTAAGTGGAGTATTAGAGCTGAATATGAAGGCTAAAAAAAGTAAAAAAGGCTAAGGAGAAGCTCTTAGAGGTTCATCAAGCAGCAGCATCGGGCTCCATGCCCGATGTGAAACCATACGAGATCTTGGAGGCAACATCGGGCTGGACCAGGCCAAACATCAGGCAGGCGTGCCCGATGTGAAAACTAACGAGAGCTGAGCTGGAACATCGGGCAGGCAGCCCGATGTGAAAATCCTTGGACACAAAGTTGAAGCATCAGGCTTGGCCAGGTCGAACATCGGGCAAGTCGTGCCTAATGTGAAAACCGACGGAAGACATGCTCGAACATCGGGCATGAACATCGGCCATCCAGCCCGATGTTAGGAGGTCCACAAATGATGAAAATTACCAATTTGCATCTGCGTCCTAGGGTCCCCCAAAGACACTATAAATATGTAAAAGAGCTAGTTTTTAGAGAGAATCTATTAATCTATTGTTCTTGCTTTCATAAACTTTCCTTTTAAGTATTTTTGTAATGATCCTTTGAGTTTATCCATTTAATCTTGTTCTTCCTTTATTCCTTCTTGTTTATTTGTCTATCTAATCATGCCTAATCACTTTTTTTTCTTTAGATTTGGTGGTTTTAACCATGATTAGTGAGTAGTTTTTTAGGGTTTTTGATGGGGTAGATTAGAGAAGTTCTATGTTTAATCCTTGATTGCTTATGCTTTTAATACAATATTCCTCTCTAATTGATGGTTTAATTGCTAGATTTGTCTTGATCACACTGATTTAGATTATAGCTTTCTTTTATGCCCACCGAGTATTTGATAAAATGTTGATCATGTCTTTTAGATGATTTATCTATTCTGGCCAAAAAGATTAGATGTCTAGAGGGTATTTTAGCTTTATAGAATTGGTTGTTATTGCTTGCTAATCATTTGATCATTAATGAGAGTTAGTTCTTGATTAGGTGGTTAGTAAAGGATTTTCACAAGAAATTGGGTTAATCTTGCTTGTTTGAATTATGTGCCTAGAAATTAGCATTTATATATGTTTTGATAGCATTTTGGTACTGTTTGTGGACTCCCCTGTCTCAAAGCCCCATCTTAAGTCCTTCTTATCTTATAGTCATTTGAATTTGCTTGATCTGTTTTGTGTTGGTCATTTGTTGCTCTGTTTTTATCTTATTAGCTTTTGTGCCATGGTTGAAAGGTTTGATTAGGTTGCCAGATAACAACACTCTTGGATTTGCTTGAATTAGATAGTTTATTGCATTTCTATTTTCTTGAACTACCCAGGGCCGGCCCAGAGGGTAGGCGGGCTAAACCAGCGCTTAGGGCCACCAATATTTTTTTAAAAAATAGGCTAAAAAATGGGTTACAATTTTTGAAAAAATCTATAAAATAGGCCACAAATTTAAAATGACCAAATAAAGTTTACATTTTCCTCTTTTATAGCTTTGAGCCACTATTTTAATTGGACCGGGCCTGGAACTACCCCATTTGGATTGATAACCTCAAATGCTACAATAACATGAGTACGTACGTTTGAGTAATTGAAGTAGTAAAAAGGCCTGCATCAGAGCTATGGTGTCTGAAAAACTAGGTTAAGTTCTTGAGCCTTTCTTGCTAATATGAGACCTCCTCTTCTGTGATCAGATAGAAGAGAGCGAAAACAAGAGGGAACACAAATCACCAAACAATTGTGGTATTTTCCATCGTTAAGAACTTGACATTATCAGGACAAAGTTTTAGATGTTTTAAGGACATTTTTTATTACCGTATGAATAGTGGAAGAATCTTTTGAACCATTTGAAATTTTGGAGAATAACTTTGGTAGATCTGTAACTTGCATTTTCTCAATTTGTTTTACTTTCCGATAAATAATAATAATTGTGAGAGAAGGTATGACATGAAAATAAAAGAGGAGCGGAAATTACATTTCTTCTGCATGAAGATCAACATCCTCAAAGTCATGACATGCTTGTTAAAAATTATTTCCCTCTGATGTTTATAGTATCAAAAGACGGTTGATACTATATATGTAAACTGCTACTATAAACAAACATTTAAAATTATGCGTATATAAACCAGTTTTGGAATCACATCTATCTAGAAGCTCTATTTTTTTATGGGTTTACTAAAGTGTTCATTAATGTTTATTCATTAGAAGGTGCGTCTTATAGGCCTCTCTCGCAAAGTCCTCTGAAACAATGTAGATACTGGGTCTCCATCTTGCAAAGTATCCACAGAAAAAGAATCCTGATCAGACAGATGACCAAAAGAGATATGAGTTTCTGCGGTTATGGGTGCCTTGCTGCTCAAATAGTGGTACTTATTTGAGGCTCAGTTTGGTCACCCAGTTTAGTAGTTGTAGAAGTAGATCCATATCTCATAACAAATGGAGAGTTGGAAGTGTTGGCAGCTTCAACAAGATTAGATGCCTCATTAGTTGGAGAAGAGGTTTTAATGATGTTTTGAAGCAAGCTCAAGAGAATCATTCAATAATTGATCATGAACTGGGATGGCTACATGAGCAAATGGTGGCACAAAAATGATGAGTACGTGTTAGTTGCCCAAACTTATCATTTGAAGCTTACTTGGGTCGAGATATCATATTCTAGATGAGTTGTGTTATATGTGCTTCATTCAGTATCATATTGTTAGAGATAGACTTAGCATTCCTCTTTGAAAGCTTTTTCTAAATTGAGGTCGGCCCATCCTAAAGGAAACTCTAGCTCGCATTCAACTAGGATGGCGCCGAGAAAAAAAAAACATTCCAAGATAAGACTAAATCTTGAAAGAAGGAAAACTTCATTTTCTTTAAAGGAAAATTTCCTATCTCAAAAAAGAAATGAAATCTACTTGACAAGAGCACCTCCTTCGACTAGAAGGGGATCCAAACTTTCATTTACGCTAAGACAAATTTAGCTTATGACTTTTAGAATTCTCTGATCTTGAATCTATTTTATTATTTAGGTCTGCATTTTCTTTCTACGATCTAAATCAGTATGTATCTCCCGAGCCCCCACCCCCCACCCACAACTGTTGTTATATTTCTTTAAGTATAGTTTGAGTATCACCTGATCAATAAGCGCAAGTGTTGTCATCATTTGAGTTGGGCTAAATCACGGCCTGGATTGTATTTGAAGTGCATCAGATGATAAACATCTTACGTAGATTATCACCATTAATTAGATGATCAATTAAGGCTATGATTGGTAACATACCAAATTAAAGCTATAGAATGGTGGAAAAATAATTGCAGAATAATTTAGAATTACGAGATATACTTTTGTGATGTGATTGACAAATTGTATGGAATGGTGGAATGGCAAAATATACATATTTAAAATTAAATTTATATTATATTATATTACAAATATTATTTGATATTATAAAAATAAATTAATTATTATTATAATAAATAACATAACTTTAATTTAATTAAAAAACTTAATTTTGATTGTAATTATTTTTTTAATTTAGTTTTCAATACAAAATATATAAAATTCTAAAAATATTGGAAAATTCAAAACATAGATATAATCTTATCATTATATAAATATATGTAGTATAAAACTATTGATTTGTATTTATTTAGATAAAAAATATAATTAGTTATATAATTCAATAATATAAATTATTGATAATTTTCTACTCAATGAATATTTTTTAAGCAAAAAAATAATTTCATAAATGTTGTAATATTTGTTAGCAAATTTTTATGATTAGTAAAAATATTTGCAGAATCGCGTTCTGCTATTCCGTAAACCTACAATTTGAAGTGAACATGTTTATTTTAGACAATAAAAAATATTTATGACTTGGATCAAGTATATTTGTCATTTATAATAAATTTTAGTTGACAAAAATAAGATATTAAAATTAAGAAGGTGTTATTGTTTTATATATTTTATTGATTTAAAAATCTATATACGATTTGTAAAATTTATTAATTTTTAAATTTAATATGTTAATTTTATAAAATCATATTCGAATTTTAAATCTTTAAAGTTTTAACATGTAATTTTTTTCAAGTCCACTAAAATCCATTTTAGAACCAATAACACAAAATAAAAGTCCAAATCCAACAATACAAAACGACTTCATATTACCATTAATTTCTTATTTTTGCTAACTAGGGTTAACTATATATGTGAGGATATATTTATCATCCTTAATTGTTCGACCCTTCTCAAACATCGTTCTTCCAGAGTACGATTTCATCTCTCCATTTACCTTTTACTTTCTAATTTTGTTTAAGATATGTTCCTCTGATTCGATTCGGGTTTGTTTAAGATTAAGGGCTCATGTTTTATTTGTTTTCAATGCAGATGAACACGTTTACTGAAACAGTTAACAGAATGCCACTTACTGAAGGAATTTCTTCTATCTTCGGATTTATTAAGACTCTTCAAGCCGACTTGCATTTAATTAGAGATTCATTCGTCAGAGCTATTATCGAAGAAGGCAATTTGTTTATATTTTAAATCTAAAAATATTTTGTTCTTCCAAGTTTGTTTATTTTGGGACATATGTTTGTTTATTTTTGGAGATATAAAATTGTTTTTTTTTTGCAGCCATCTCCGAACTTCGTCTCCTTGCTTATGAGAAGCAGAATCTCTTAGATGCCGCTCAGATGGAATTAAACGACTCGAACTTTTAGCACACCACACGGTCCACACCATCAATACGGAATCCAAATTTGCTACTTTAATCTTTCTTTTTTCCTACGTTTGGGGTCAACTGCTACGTTGATCTATCCCAATTATTTTAAAAAGACAGAAGTTTCTTCGCAGATTCGTAAATAGATCTTCTAATTACCGAAAATTAGATATAGTTAGGTGACCAAAAGTTAGATTGCGAAATGAAAATTTCATGTACCGATGTACCTTCTCATTAGATTGCACATTACATTCACATGGAGACAGAGAGAGAGAGACATTGTAGTTTCCATTACAGCTAAACACTTGACAATCACTGAATCAAGATTCTGATGAAGCACTACAAGTTTAATCCCAGAGACAGATCGATTTACATCATACACCGATTTCGAGAGTGTTTACCGTGTTCTTCCAGGCCGATTCTATCGCAAAATCCGCCACAAGAAACTGCGACTTCTCAGCGAATCCTCAAAGCAACAGATGCAAAATCGCCGGAAGGAACATGCAGACAGTTCTTGATAATATACAGATTGGAAAACTCAGTGAGAGAGGTTACGGTTTTGTAAGTGATTCTGAGTGGTCTTGGATCTGAACATGGAGCTAAGGTGTCTGAAGAACTAGGTTTAGTTCTTGGGCCTTTCTTGCTATGAGACCTCCTCTTCTGTAATCAGATGGAAGCAAATACCAATCAACAACTGCAACACTCTCCATCGCTAAGAAGTAAGTGTTAGATGTTTATTTTACCTGGTGAGTAGTGGGAGAATCTTCTGAATCTTTTGCAATTCCGCAGAACAACTTTGGCAGATCTGTAACCTGCATTTTCTTAATTTGTTTTACTTTCCGATAAAAAGAGAATAAGTGTGAGAGAAGGTATATATGGCATGACGATAAAGGAGGAGCGGAAATTACCTTTCTTCTGCATGAAGATCAACGCCAACACTTCGTCGTGCTGTAACAGTTGATTGTACAACTGTACCGAACACTGCTACAAGCTTCAACAGCATTTCCAAGCCGACATTTACAGGCCTATACAAAAAAAATTGAAATCGTATGTGATTTTTAGCTGATAAGGCATTGTTGCTTTCCTTCATTGAATGAAATTATATCTCAAAATCAAAGCAAAACATAGTATAAGGACGAACAGAATAAGATAATTTTACCTTTCAGTCCTGCTGCCCAATAAGCCTGTGAGGACAGGTGCTAATTGGGAAAACAGATCCAATGTTAGAATCTCTGTTTTGTCTGTTAGAATACTGATCACATCTGCTTGAACCTGCTCCAGTTTAAGCGAATCAGCTTTTTCTAAACATCCAAGTATATAAAAGACAGGTAATAGGAATCTACTGGGATACTTACAGAATGATCTGACAGCTTTATCAAGGCCATGATGGCGCCTTTAATATCGCTACGCTCCCAAAAATGTCTTACAATCTGCACGTTGGTTTTATATCAATGACTTGGAAAATAACAGTAAAGAAAAACCACACAGGAAGAGGAAAAGAGAACAAGAGTAAATATGACAAAAATAACACCAAATTTACCTGTAATTTCGTCAACCTCGATTGAAGAGTGTTTAGGACCTCATTATGAGTTTGCATTAAAGTCTCACTCATGTCACCTTCATTCTCCCTCCCAGATATCTGAGGCTCTTCCTTCTGCGCAAGCCAAACAAATCAAAATACTTGTTATGTATACAGACCTCCTCTAACTTTTTCATCCTTGCAATTTCACATATTTTTTTGTCTAGCATCGGAGACTACAAAATTCAACTATAGAACAAGATACATTTCAAAGATGGAGAAATTAATATTTCTATTAGTTGCCTCAACTTATCATTTTGAAGCTTACCTGGGTAGATATATCATATTCTGGTTGAGTTTGGGTTATATGTGCCTCATCCAGTGTCATATCAGTCACCTGATCAATTACCGAAGGTGTTGGCAGCGATTGAGTTGGGCTAAATCGCTGCCTGGATCTTATTTGAGATGCGTCAGATGTCACACTATACTCTTGATTGAGTTTCACAGGAATTACACGAGCAGGAGAGTTTCTAGCTGATCGTGTTAATGCAACTGGAGGCTCATAAGATGGCGTATCATCTGCTTGGTTCGGTTTCATAGGCATTACACGGGCTGGGGAAGTCCTAGCTGATCGTGTTGATGGTACAGGACGCTCATCATGCTTGCTAGTTGCTTGATTGAGTATCACAGGCATTACTCGCGCTGAAGAGGTCCTAAGTGGTCTTCTTGTTATTACAGGAGGCTCATCAGATTTCATATTAGTTGATCGACTCCGATTGAGTAGCATAGGCGTAACTGGGGCAGGAGAAGTCACTCGTCGTATTGATGTTACAGGAGACTCATCAGATGTCAACTTAGTAGCTGAACTCCTATCAGGTCGTGTTGATGCTACAGGAGGTTCATCAGATTTCATTTTTGCTGTCTGATTGAGTATCACAGGCATAATTGGGGCTTGAGAAGACCTAGCTTGCCGTGTTGATGCTACACCAGGCTCATCAGATGTCGAATTAGTAGTAGCCCAAACTCTATCAGGTCGTGTTGACGTTACAGGAGTCGCATCAGTTGTCATGTTTGTGTCCCGACCGAGTACAACAGGCATAACTCTGGCTGGAATACTCCTAGGTCGTCGTGTCGATACCACAGGAGCTTCAACTGTCGTCAAGTTAGTTGCCTGTTCAAGCTCAGGTGGCATTACCTGGGTAGGCGTCGGGCTAACTGCTGGTATCGATGTTGTTTGGGGCTCTTCTTCCACAGCATCAGTGCTCTGAACTGTTGTTGCACTGGCTGCTTTATCTTCAGAAGGAGTAATTTTTTCTCCTCTCTCAAACCTCTCAACCAATGACCGTGTCCTCCCTGAAAGAACTTTTACTGCAAACATAGCAGTTCCTAATGAATCAATAACCAGTTATATGCTACCAAAGAAAAAAAAGACTGCAAACATTGAATGGCTAACCTCCTCTTACAACCTTCACAGAGTCCGATTCTTTGCTACCTCCAGGGGATTCTACAACCTTCACAGAGTCCGATTCTTTGCTACCTGTAGGGGATTCAACTCCTACACGGCAGAATATTTATATCAATAACTTACAAACTGATTGTAGCCTCAAAACCAAGTAACTTGAAGAGCTCTCGGCGGGCTTATTCATCTTTTTCCAAGATTACACTATCTAGTAACATAAAAGTAGCTCTTCTAGATTGATTTCATTGTGTTGTATGTTGTCTTTTATTTAGTAACTCATGCATACTAAACAGTTTGCAAAGACAAGTGAACGCCCAACCCCTAAAAGTTGCATAAGTTTTAGCGTCTACTTCATAAGCATAAATGCCCATATATTAGTCAAATCTGATTTCGAATTTAGTACTTAATACTTACTTCTAAGTTCATCACCAGCTTTCTTTGGTGATAAAACTTTTTCTGGCTTGCTTGAAACGATCTCGTCATCGAAATCCTCCTCACTTGGGTTACTACCTCTGTCATCCACAAGCCCTTTTGTCAAACCTGTATCTCTTGAGTCATCTAAGCCGCTTTTTTTACTGTCCACGGTTCCAGAACTGACAGAAATTGTCTCATTGTGCTTAGTATTTGGTGATCTCTGTACACGAGGCGGTTTCAGCAGCATAGCTGAGAAAAAAATTGTACGAGATTTCCAATAAGATGGGATAATCTGAAAGCTCAAATCTGATGAAAGAGAAGTGTGAACTGGGAGAACTTACATTTCGCTTCATCAGTTGGTGATTCCGGAAATAAAGCTTTTTCAAACTTGTTGGTTATACTCTTGATGAAAGAATCATTGGCATCAAATGCTTTTCTACCACTCTGTGCTGAATCTAACGAAGTCTTTGTATCCAGCTCTTTGTCACCATCCGGTCCGCTTTGTTTCGGAGTACCAGACTGAACAGCCACTGACTGCTTTGTCGGCGTTTTTCTTACATGAGCTGGTCTTAGCAGCATACCCGGCTTCGTTTTTGAGAATGTGATAGATTCCTTTCCAGAATCAGAAGAGTCTTTCGAAAAATCACTATGCGCTATGAGAGACTTATCCCCTGCTTGTACAGTAGATGTTGCATTGACTTTAGGAGTACTTAGTGATCCTGGCTTATGTGCAACAGTTGAATTTCCACCTGTTGCTTTGAAGAGAAGAGAATATCAGACCAACAATAAGAATATAGAAGTTAGAGACGTATATATTTATGTTGAATGCAGCACACAAACAGCCATTATTATCTAAAAGTCACAATCCTGCTCACAAAGGTTATGGCCTATGGGATATGAATATTTATTTTATTCAGAATGCAGATTAGAAGACAACCATGGCTACAAAACTAGGAATAAACACAACATGAACGGAAAACATATATATGATTAGAGCTGATCTAAGTGTAAAATGGCTTCCTATCACTAGAGCAAGCCAACTGGAGTTAGTGATCTTCGTAATTGTCCATCGCAATTAAACATTTGGTGTTAATTCGACAGGTAACATGACCCGAACCAGTAAGCTATCCTACAGGGCCTTCCTAAATCAGAAATGTGATTGATTTTAGAATCCGTGAACATCAAAACAAAATAAACATTCACTCACAGTCGATGTATATGTTTTTGATTTCTTTTGTCTCATAATCTGGAGATGAGCTGCGCCTGGGGCCACTCCTTATTCGCTCGGAAGACTGATCGTCAAGAACACCGAGAATTTTCTCCACGCATTCCTTTTTATCCGAAGATCCAATGCCATATGGTTCGATTTGCTGCTTAAAATTAAGGATTAGAGAAGAAAAAAGAGCATGAGCCTTCGAAACTTTATTTATAAGCTTCACATAAGTTTCAAAAGGTATGGAGAATCAGAATAGCTGACATACGGATATATCTGAGACCCAAATTCCTACGGAATTTTGGTAGTGTGAACAACCCATGAGCTTCCCTTCGCTGATGCACAAGTCACCAAGTGTTGACCATCCCATATCAACACTATCATGGCAAACCACTGGCTCCCATGAATAAACCTGAATTATGAGCGTCAGCTTATGATATCAATGTACTAATTCTGGAGATCTCAAAATATGGTATAGCTCATCAAAAAACACAAATCAAAACCTTTAAGCCATCATCCAAACCACAGAAAAGGGTTCGCCCATCCGGATGAAATTTGATTGAACGAACTCCTGTAGCCTGTGAGACAAGGAAGAGCACATGTCAAGAAAAAGATTGTAAATAAAAAAGTTCCAAGACAAGACTACAAAGCCAGCTCAACGCCAAAACATGATTTCATTAGATCCTACTTTGTGGACGCCAGTTACTTTTACTTACTTCATCTGATATCTTTAAGAAGAACTCAACTACCACTTGGCATTTCTCTAACACACTCTTTAGAGCAAGACCGAGAACAAATAAATTTCTGATAATTTTAATGTGAGGTTTCCCTTCAAGGTGGCCACTTTGTGTTAGATTCTCTACGAAAACTGTTAGTACCTCTGGTCGGGTAGATCCAATCAATTCAAACGTTTCCAAATCCCAGAACTTTACGGTCCTGTCAGCTGAACCTGAATAATGAATAGGAAGTCAATGAAATCACAAGACCTCAATATAAAACTTGTGAATAGAAAAAAAAAGGAACCACAGACTAACCTGTGGCTAGGAGAAACTCAAGTGGGTGGAAGTCTAGCGAACGAATAGCTCCTTCATGAAACTTAAAATCATGTATAATCTTTCCAGCAGTCAAATCCCATACCTATTAGATACAATCATTAGTATATTGTTAAAAGAACATAGGTTTGGGAAAAAAGACAATGCACAAGATCAGCTCTTACTTTTACAACATTGTCAAGTCCTCCGGTTACTACCCAACGACCATCAGGAGTAAATTTGATAGTGCTGATGCCACGAGTATGGCCCTTGTACGTCTGTATGCATCCCTTCTTTCTGATGTCCCAAATCTTCAGATTCGCGTCATTTGATCCAGACGCCAAAAATTCACCAAACGGATGAAATTCAACAGCAGAACAATTGGATCTATGTCCAGTAAAAGCTCGAACCACTACACTTCAAGAGCAAGAGTGAAAATGTTAGACCTCATAATTCCTCAAATGACAATAACTCAAATCGGTAATGAACATGTTTCCATATGATGAAACTAGCTAGGCGTATAAGGAGCAACAAATCTTCTAAAAGAAGAGCAGAAAATCAAGCAACTAACTCTTTGCTTCTTCTAGATCCCACAGCTTTATCACACCCGAAGAAGCTCCAGCGAGCACCAAAACTTCTGCCGAGTCAAAAGCTACTGAATCCACTGCACTAGTATGACCACATAAACTCTGCAAACAAGACAAGAAAAGAATATATCATCACTCTTAAACAAAACGCATACTTGTCAAACTAGTGCTATTATACCAAAAATTGATAAAATAAGTTAAAGGAACAAATTTAGAGAAGAAGGAAGAAAATGTGAAACACACCATTAAAGAAGTAGGCTTGCCTATCGCCCAAAGGTTGACCTTGTAATCATCACCGCCGGTTATAAGGAGCCGTGACGTCTTCTTTCCGATACTTAGGCAATTTACATTTTCGGAATGTGCCAAAAACTCCTCTAAGTTTCCAAATAGAGTCAAGGTTTCTAACAAATGAACAGACTTTCGAAGCAACCCGAACAATGATCCTAAGTAATTCACAAACAAATCATATCCAGACAATAAATTCAGATAACACATTTTAATAAACAAAATTTTGCAGTCTCTTGTCTACCATATGCTCTAAGTTCGGTTGAGCAAACAAGGATAGAAACATTTGACCAGGAATTCAAAAATATCTGCTAAAATTGAAATGCTTATGAAATTTGAAGCTCATCAATATCATTTTTACCTACAAACATAAAAACTAAAGTTTGCTCTTGGGAGTTTATAAGATAAAAACCCCAAAAAATAAAAACGCCAACAAATTCTCAGGATGGAGTTAAAAATGCAGAGTTTGTTCAATTTCATTCAGCTTAAGAATCAACAAAATCGCCAGAAAAAAAAAATTGTAAGGATACGCAGCTTATATCCACGCTTCGCCATTTTCTACTCGATTCCCCAGAAAATCCGTGTTGAACAAATTGAAATCTGAATCCGGGAATCGAATCTCCAGCTTCCGTAATCGATCGGGGGAAAAAAACGGTGAATCAGAGCAAAAATCCCAATTGTCACTACACGACAGAGCCCGAGATTTTTGTGAGATTCAAAGGGAGAAACATGGAGAAGAGGTTGCTTCCCGTTGGGGATTTGAAATCTAAACGTGAGAAAGAATCTGATTCTGGGGAAATTTTGTTGAAGGAAACGAGATAATCAGATTCAAATAGTGACACGGAGCAGAAAGAAACAGAGAAGACGAAAAATGGTAAAGCGAAGGAAGTTTTTTTCTTTTCTTCAGAATTTCACGTTTTTTTTTTAATATATTTACTTATTTTTATTTATCGGTCGGTCGGTCTTTTTAATTTTTTTAATTCAAAATTTTAAGCATTTTTCTTGGACAGTGGACCTAGTTTCTTCGTCGTTCGTTCTTCTCAGTTCTGACGGAAATACCCTTTTGTCCAGGCATTGAAATGAAGTTGAAGTTACGAAAACACCCTTTGATGTAAATTGACTCTATTGGTTACAGTTTTTTCTCCAACTCCATCATAATTAAACCTTTGTTTTAAATTATTATTGGATAGGTCAGGAAACACGTCATCATCTCTTGGGTTTGTTTGTTTCCTAAAGACATTGTCAACCTTATATATAAATAAGGTAATTTATACGTATTTCGTTTGGTAAGACGTATATTATTTCCAAAATACGTCGATGGGGAGATGTAGAGAGTCTTCAATGATTTAGATAATAGAATCAATATTTTAAACACAAGTTTTGTCAAAACTTTGTGAATGAAGTAATTTTAAAACGAGAACTGCTTTCATCGTTTTGCATATTATTTTCAAAACTCGAAAGTGGACTAAAATATATAGAAAATAATAATCCACGACCGAGCTAACACGTCTTAAAACACACACACACACACGAATCTCAATATGATTTAAATTTTTTAAAACGCACAACTTGAAGTTCAAATGTGAATTATCAATGCATGATTGATATTTTGGTTACATCAGAAAATAAAGATGTTTAAGCAAGTCTCCAACATCTTTTTAGGTCGGTCAGTTTCTATTTGATTCTTATCTTCAATATTTGTTGGGTTCTTGTTTTAATGAGTCCTGATGTGGTGAAGCCATTCATTGCATGGGACGAAAAAATGTGGAAAATGTTAAGAAAACTCTTACCATATGTCTTCATAAGTGAAGTTGGCTCTTCCTATTGCCCCAAACCAGAAAGACACTAGACATTGTTTAGATTAGATCCAGGGGATTTAAATTAGAGAACCTGAAAACAGGATCCTTCATGATTATGCAAAATCAAAAAATTTCATCTTGATCCTCCTGTTGGACCTAATCCATTATAAGCGAAAGTATGCATCTTGATTTTCGATAGTGAGGAATCAAAAACCACAGTAAAGTGAGAGGCATCGCATACTCTGAAGAGATCCTCTTTTACGTAAAAGCATAAAACTGTTTATAGTGTAAATATTATCCATCTTAAGTTATACAATAGGATAAATGGAAATCATAATCCAAACAACACAACACACTGCAGAGAGATAAGAATGCAATTACAATCCAAATGAACAACACTAACACAATACTCTGCAAGTAGAAAGAAAAAGCAAAGTAAGACATGCGTAAGAGATGAATCTGGTTTCTGACAATGACGAATCCCAATCCAGAGTAAAAGATGTTTAGAACCTAAAAGAAGAAGAAAACAAGAAACAAAGTTCGTGACACTTGTGGAAAGCATTGGAATCGAGAGGCACAACATATTCTGTAAAATCCTTATCACCTAAAAGCATAACCTATTTTGTCGGAATATCGTAAGAAGCTGAACTAATATTAATCAGTTTAGCTTCTCGTCCCATATAAGAAAAAAATTACTTATGATTTTGATCACCTGTAGAGTTCAATACACCTGTTTTTAATTTTGAAATTAGTGACAAATAATTCATGTTTTTGGATATCATTATGCAAATGAATCATATCCGATTAATAAGGGTGCATACGGTACCTCAGGCTAACCTAGAGCAAACATAGAAGAAACTCAGTAGTATAAAAATATCCAAGCGAAGGAAACAATTAAGAGGAATAATTACCTATCGAAAAAAGGAAAGAAATGACTTTTGGTCTCTTCGTCCTCCCATTCAAGCTCCATTTTCTGTTGTAGAGGATCCATTATTATCTTAAATCCTCCAAGTGGCACTAGTCGTGGGACACTTGTAACATCTAACGGAAGCTTTCTCAGCTTTGGACAGTTTATTGCTACTATCTTTCTCAATAATGGAAAAGGAAGAGGACTCCAGTAGATACTCTCCAGCTTAGGCAAACTTTCTAACCATAACCATTCTAGTTTCTGAAATGGTGAAATACCTGAAAGATTGGTTGCTTTTTCTTTGTTTATAATTTCTTCCATTTCTTCTGAATGTTTAATGGATAGGTGGGCAAGATTTGGAGCATACATTAGCCACGTCAGATCCTTAATGCTATGAGAGCTACTTATATGCACACTACAGAGGTTGATAAGACGTGGACTTGTAGGATTGTGTAAATAAGACGAGTTCGTCTCTCTTTCTTTGCACTTCAGATTTGTATTAATCTCCCATACATGATTACTTTCCACCACGTTTAAAACACGAAGATTCTCCATTCTCATCAGCAATGATATATTGAAGGTAGTTTGTTGAAAATAGCAAATCTCGAGAATATCGATGCAGTTGGCCAACCTTTGATCTCTTGATAATTTCTCCAAACCCAACACAGTAGATATGGTTATGCTTAGAACTTGTAGATGCTCCAAGAGCTGCAGCTCCTTCACTAAGTCAACATCTACATAAACATTAAAAAAATGTAGTTTCAAACTTCTTAAACTTGACAACTTTGATACTCCACTGATACTGGAAAGTCTCTTTGTACCAGTCAAATTCAGGTGAGTAAGATTTTTTAACTTTTGGAAACCAACAGGCAGTTTCTCTATACTTGTAAACGACAAGTCAAGATACCGCAAGGATGCCAGCTCCGATATCTGCTCCGGGAGTTCACTGAATTTTTTATTCTCTGATAGATTCAAAACAACTAGCTTTTTCATAGACCGGATGAATTCACGTAAGAGATTCTTCAAGTCATTATTCTGGAGGAGCAAAGTTGTAACTTCAGAACACTTGGAACCCCAATTTATCTCTTCAATATCATTATTCATTAATGACATCCTTCTCACAGTTCCCCAATTCTCGACTCTTGGCATTTCAGGTAATCCGGCTCTTGCTTGCACAAAAAAGTCTCTTTCTGTTTTCCGAAACATGATGCAATCCATAGAGCCATTTCGCGAATCACGTCATGCATCACAACTGTGTTTGTATTAACTTCCATCAGTAAATTTGCACGGACAAGAGTACCAAGTACCTCATGACCCTTATTCATTGCTCTTTTTATAACTTGGCATTCCCCGAGAAATCCCTCGCATATCCAATACTCCATCAACTCTTCTTTATTTATTAGACCATCCTCCGGAAACAGAGCACAATAGAGAAAACATGACTTGATATGTTCATCCACCAAGCTATCATAGCTGTACTTCAGAATTGGAAGAATTTTATTCTCAATGTCAGAAAACTCTGCAGCGGATGTAGCCAAAATTTCGTTCGCATGCTCCCATTCTTGTACCGTAGTTTGAGATGCCATTGTCTCGCCAATGACACTGAGCGCTAGTGGCAGGCCATGACATTTCTCAGCGACCTTTCTTGCAAGCTGTACAATGACATGATCGCTTAAGTTATTGTCTCCGACTTTGTTTTTAAATAACTCCCATGCTTCATTACGTTCCAAACACTTGACTTGCATCGGCTCATGATCCCCCATCTGCCCACATACTTTGCGAGAACGTGTGGTGAAAGCTACTTTACATCCATTTTCTCTAGTTGGAAAGGGAACTCCGATGGCTTCCAAATCCACTTTCTCCCATACGTCATCCAGCATCAGCACAAATCTCTTCCCCTTCAAAACTCCATGTATATCAGTGGCCTTGTCACTTTCATTTTTGTTCGTCCACTCATCGCCACAAAGGTGTAGCTTTTGTGCAATATCTTCTTGTAGCTTTGAATTTTTTGTGCCTTGAGACACCACGACCCAGATCATAAAGTCAAACCCACCCATTCCAGCTAACTTATTGTGGATTTTCTTGAAAAGTGTTGTTTTTCCTACACCACCCATACCGTGCAGACCCATGATTCCGACCCCATCTTCGTTTATCCGATTCCATGCCTCTTCGAGAATTTTTTCATGACCAACTGTAGGCCGAGTAGGCCTCTCTTCCACTACATATGTCAGAGCCAGCTCAGAGACCTCTTTAAAACCACTCTCCGATTTGAGAATTTTAACCTCTTTTAATAACATGAATACACTTTTCCCAAAATTGTAGCTCGAACACACGCTCTTCGAACATAAACCGCAGAGACACAGCTTCTGAAGCTGAACCGGACTAGTACTAAGCAGATCAATGACTCGTGTATCGATTCTCTGGACACGTGTAAGCCATACCTGGACAGGTTCAAGCCTTTGTCGATGTTGTGCCTCCTCTCTTTCAACCTTGTGCTTCACCTGTTGTTGAATTGCTTTGAGATCTTCCATCTCCCTCTTCAGAGCCCTGAGATTTTCCTTGAGGTTTCGAATATGACCTTTACCACATAAGCATCTAAAGATTTGATTCACTGTCTGATCACAAGAATAATTTAAAGCCACGCAATTCCCCATGGTGATAGCCAAAAAGAGTGTATTTTCAGCGAGCAACGGCGAAGCTGGAGAAGAGTTTTAGGTGATAAAATGCATCTTGCTAATGAAGAAGGAAAAGATTGACTTGTTAGATTTCAGTCCTCTTTGCTTTGTAATTTCCCCCACGGTTCCAAAAGTCGTTTACTTGATGCCACTTGGGATTATTATAATCACTTATAGATAACCATGTTTCTGAAAAAAAATCAATGCTCAATTTTTAATCGTCCACTTTGTATTATTATAATCACTTTAGATACAACTATGTTTTTAGAAGAAAAAAAATACAAAGGTCAATGATTAAGGAGGCTCTTTAATTTTGATTATTGCAATCACCGTAAATCGTAATGTTTAAGAAAACGAAAAACAAAGCACTATAAGATTACTAGTCAATAGTGACTATCGTTTTTAATATTCCCAGAGTTCCACCGAAAATAATTTAGTTCAGATTATGAAATCACATTTTAAAACAAATCACTCTTCATCATAAATTCATAATATATGTGAAACCATGAAAAAGGCATTTTCTCAATATGTTTTACTTTCCGATAAAAATAGAATAGGTGTGAGAGAAGGTATATATGGCATGAAGAGATAAAGGAGGAGCGGAAATTACCTTTCTTCTGCATGAAGATCAACGCCAACACTATGTCGTGCTGTAACAGTTGATTGTACAACTGTACCGAACACTGCTACAAGCTTCAACAGCATTTCCAAGCCGACATTTACAGGCCTATACAACAAAAATTGCGTAAATTAAAATTAGGTTAATAGAATCAACATTTTAAACACAAATTTTGTCAAAAAAATTGTGAATGAAGTAATTTAAGACGAGAACTGCTTTCATCGTTTTGCATATTATTTTCAAAACTCGAAAGTGGACTAAAATATGTAGATAATAAGAATCCACGACCGAGCTAACACGTCTTAAAACACAACACACACACACACACACGAATCTCAGTATGATTTAAATTTTTAAAACGAACAACTTGAAGTTCAAATATGAATTATCAATGCATGATAGGTTATTTGGTTACATCAGAAAATGAAGACGCTTAAGCAAGTCTCCAACATCTTTAATATCATGTTTTCTTTAGTTTTTTATTTGCTTATCTTCAATATTTTTTGGGTTCTTGTTTCAATGAGTCTTAATGTGGTGAAGCCATTCATTGGAAACTCTGAAAATTTATGAAGATTCTTTACATATTTCTTCTTAAGTGAAGTTGGCTCTTCCCATTGCCCCAAACTAGAAAGCCATTAGACATAGTTTAGAATTAGATCCAATTAGATAATCTGGGAACAAGATCCTTCATGATTAAGCAAAATCAAAACTATTTTCATCTTGATCCTCCACTGTTAATAACAAAAACACACGGCAAGATGAAAGAGGGGGTCACAGGTAAGACCTAATCCATTCTAGGCTACGCCTTTTCGGGGGAAAGTATGGATTCTTATTTTGGATAGTGAGGAATCAAAAACCAGACACAGTAAAGTGAGAGGCATCACATACTCTATAGAAGGACGTAATCCATCTTAAGTTATACAATAGGATAAATGGAAAACATAATCCAAGTGAACAACACAACACACTGCAGAGAGATAAGAATGCAATTACAATCCAATTGAACAACACAACACTATAAAAGTAGAATCTGGTTTCTGACAGTGACGAATCCCAATCCAGAGTAAGAGATGTTTAGAACCTAAAAGAAGAAGAAAACAAGAAACAAAGTTAGTGACACTTGTGGAAAGCATTGGAATCGAGAGGCACAACATATTCTGTAAAATCCTTATCACCTAAAAGCATAACCTATTTTGTCGGAATATCGTAAGAAGCTGAACTAATATTAATCAGTTTAGCTTCTCGTCCCATATAAGAAAAAATTACTTATGATTTTGATCACGTGTAGAGTTCAATACACCTGTTTTTAATTTTGAAATTAGTGACAAATAATTCATGTTTTTGGATATCATTATGCAAATGAATCATATCCGATTAATAAGGGTGCATACGGTACCTCAGGCTAACCTAGAGCAAACATAGAAGAAACTCAGTGGTATAAAAATATCCAAGCGAAGGAAACAATTAAGAGGAATAATTACCTATCGAAGAAAGGAAAGAAATGACTTTTGGTCTCTTCGTCCTCCCATTCAAGCTCCATTTTCTGTTGTAGAGGATCCATTATTATCTTAAATCCTCCAAGTGGCACTAGTCGTGGGACACTTGTAACATCTAACGGAAGCTTTTTCAGCTTTGGACAGTTTATTGCTACTATCTTTCTCAATAATGGAAAAGGAAGAGGACTCCAGTAGATACTCTCCAGCTTAGACAAACTTTCTAACCATAACCATTCTAGTTTCTGAAATGGTGAAATACCTGAAAGATTGGTTGCTTTTTCTTTGTTTATAATTTCTTCCACTTCTTCTGAATGTTTAATGGATAGGTGGGCAAGATTTGGAGTATACATTAGCCACGTCAGATCCTTAATGCTATGAGAGCTACTTATATGCACACTACAGAGGTTGATAAGACGTGGACTTGTAGGATTGTGTAAATAAGACGAGTTCGTCTCTCTTTCTTTGCACTTCAGATTTGTATTAATCTCCCATACATGATTACTTTCCACCACGTTTAAAACACGAAGATTCTCCATTCTCATCAGCATTGATATATTGAAGGTAGTTTGTTGAAAATAGCAAATCTCGAGAATATCGATGCAGTTGGCCAACCTTTGATCTCTTGATAATTTCTCCAAACCCAACACCGTAGATATGGTTATGCTTAGAACTTGTAGATGCTCCAAGAGCTGCAGCTCCTTCACTAAGTCAACATCTACATAAACATTAGAAAAATGTAGTTTCAAACTTCTTAAACTTGACAACTTTGATACTCCACTGATACTGGAAAGTCTCTTTGTACCAGTCAAATTCAGGTGAGTAAGATTTTTTAACTTTTGGAAACCAACAGGCAGTTTCTCTATACTTGTAAACGACAAGTCAAGATACCGCAAGGATGCCAGCTCCGATATCTGCTCCGGGAGTTCACTGAATTTTTTATTCTCTGATAGATTCAAAACAACTAGCTTTTTCATAGACCGGATGAATTCACGTAAGAGATTCTTTAAGTCATTATTCTGGAGGAGCAAAGTTGTAACTTCAGAACACTTGGAACCCCAATTTATCTCTTCAATATCATTATTCATTAATGACATCCTTCTCACAGCTCCCCAATCCTCGACTCTTGGCATTTCAGGTAATCCGGCTCTTGCTTGCACAAAAAAAGTCTCTTTCTGTTTTCCGAAACATGATGCAATCCATAGAGCCATTTCGCGAATCACGTCATGCATCGCAACTGTGTTTGTATTAACTTCCATCAGTAAATTTGCACGGACAAGAGTACCAAGTACCTCATGACCCTTATTCTCTGCTCTTTTTATAACTTGGCATTCCCCGAGAAATCTCTCGCATATCCAATACTCCATCAACTCTTCTTTATTTATTAGACCATCCTCCGGAAACAGAGCACAATAGAGAAAACATGACTTGATATTTTCATCCACCAAGCTATCATAGCTGTACTTCAGAATTGGAAGAATTTTATTCTCCATGTCAGAAAACTCTGCAGCGGATGTAGCCAAAATTTTGTTCGCATGCTCCCATTCTTGTACCGTAGTTTGAGATGCCATTGTCTCGCCAATGACACTGAGCGCTAGTGGCAGGCCATGACATTTCTCAGCGACCTTTCTTGCAAGCTGTACAATGACATGATCGCTTAAGTTATTGTCTCCGACTTTGTTTTTAAATAACTCCCATGCTTCATTACGTTCCAAACACTTGACTTGCATCGGCTCATGATCCCCCATCTGCCCACATACTTTGCGAGAACGTGTGGTGAAAGCTACTTTACATCCATTTTCTCTAGTTGGAAAGGGAACTCCGATGGCTTCCAAATCCACTTTCTCCCATACGTCATCCAGCATCAGCACAAATCTCTTCCCCTTCAAAACTCCATGTATATCAGTGGCCTTGTCACTTTCATTTTTGTTCGTCCACTCATCGCCACAAAGGTGTAGCTTTTGTGCAATATCTTCTTGTAGCTTTGAATTTTTTGTGCCTTGAGACACCACGACCCAGATCATAAAGTCAAACCCACCCATTCCAGCTAACTTATTGTGGATTTTCTTGAAAAGTGTTGTTTTTCCTACACCACCCATACCGTGCAGACCCATGATTCCGACCCCATCTTCATTTATCCGATTCCATGCCTCTTCGAGAATTGTTTCATGACCAACTGTAGGCCGAGTAGGCCTCTCTTCCACTACATATGTCGGAGCCAGCTCAGAGACCTCTTTAAAACCACTCTCCGATTTGAGAATTTTAACCTCTTTTAATAACATGAATACACTTTTCCCATATTGGTAGCTCGAACACACGCTCTTCGAACATAAACCGCAGAGACACAGCTTCTGAAGCTGAACCGGACTAGTACTAAGCAGATCAATGACTCGTGTATCGATTCTCTGGACACGTGTAAGCCATACCTGGACAGGTTCAAGCCTTTGTCGATGTTGTGCCTCCTCTCTTTCAACCTTGTGCTTCACCTGTTGTTGAATTGCTTTGAGATCTTCCATCTCCCTCTTCAGAGCCCTGAGATTTTCCTTGAGGTTTCGAATATGACCTTTACCACATAAGCATCTAAAGATTTGATTCACTGTCTGATCACAAGAATAATTTAAAGCCACGCAATTCCCCATGGTGATAGCCAAAAAGAGTGTATTTTCAGCGAGCAACGGCGAAGCTGGAGAAGAGTTTTAGGTGATAAAATGCATCTTGCTAATGAAGAAGGAAAAGATTGACTTGTTAGATTTCAGTCCTCTTTGCTTTGTAATTTCCCCCACGGTTCCAAAAGTCGTTTACTTGATGCCACTTGGGATTATTATAATCACTTATAGATAACCATGTTTCTGAAAAAAAATCAATGCTCAATTTTTAATCGTCCACTTTGTATTATTATAATCACTTTAGATGCAACTATGTTTTTAGAAGAAGAAAAATACAAAGGTCAATGATTAAGGAGGCTCTTTAATTTTGATTATTGCAATCACCGTAAATCGTAATGTTTAAGAAAACGAAAAACAAAGCACTATAAGATTACTAGTCAATAGTGACTATCGTTTTTAATATTCCCAGAGTTCCACCGAAAATAATTTAGTTCAGATTATGAAATCACATTTTAAAACAAATCACTCTTCATCATAAATTCATAATATATGTGAAACCATGAAAAAGGCATTTTCTCAATATGTTTTACTTTCCGATAAAAATAGAATAGGTGTGAGAGAAGGTATATATGGCATGAAGAGATAAAGGAGGAGCGGAAATTACCTTTCTTCTGCATGAAGATCAACGCCAACACTATGTCGTGCTGTAACAGTTGATTGTACAACTGTACCGAACACTGCTACAAGCTTCAACAGCATTTCCAAGCCGACATTTACAGGCCTATACAACAAAAATTGCGTAAATTAAAATTAGGTTAATAGAATCAACATTTTAAACAAAAATTTTGTCAAAAAAATTGTGAATGAAGTAATTTAAGACGAGAACTGCTTTCATCGTTTTGCATATTATTTTCAAAACTCGAAAGTGGACTAAAATATGTAGATAATAAGAATCCACGACCGAGCTAACACGTCTTAAAACACAACACACACACACACACACGAATCTCAGTATGATTTAAATTTTTAAAACGAACAACTTGAAGTTCAAATATGAATTATCAATGCATGATAGGTTATTTGGTTACATCAGAAAACGAAGACGCTTAAGCAAGTCTCCAACATCTTTAATATCATGTTTTCTTTAGTTTTTTATTTGCTTATCTTCAATATTTTTTGGGTTCTTGTTTCAATGAGTCTTAATGTGGTGAAGCCATTCATTGGAAACTCTGAAAATTTATGAAGATTCTTTACATATTTCTTCTTAAGTGAAGTTGGCTCTTCCCATTGCCCCAAACTAGAAAGCCATTAGACATAGTTTAGAATTAGATCCAATTAGATAATCTGGGAACAAGATCCTTCATGATTAAGCAAAATCAAAACTATTTTCATCTTGATCCTCCACTGTTAATAACAAAAACACACGGCAAGATGAAAGAGGGGGTCACAGGTAAGACCTAATCCATTCTAGGCTACGCCTTTTCGGGGGAAAGTATGGATTCTTATTTTGGATAGTGAGGAATCAAAAACCAGACACAGTAAAGTGAGAGGCATCACATACTCTATAGAAGGACGTAATCCATCTTAAGTTATACAATAGGATAAATGGAAAACATAATCCAAGTGAACAACACAACACACTGCAGAGAGATAAGAATGCAATTACAATCCAAATGAACAACACAACACTATGCAAGTAGAATCTGGTTTCTGACAGTGACGAATCCCAATCCAGAGTAAGAGATGTTTAGAACCTAAAAGAAGAAGAAAACAAGAAACAAAGTTAGTGACACTTGTGGAAAGCATTGGAATTGAGAGACACAACATATTCTGTAAAATCCTTATCACCTAGAAGCATAACCTATTTTGTTGGAATATCTTAAGAAGCTGAACTAATATGAATCAGTTTAGCTTCGCGTCCCATATAAGAAAAAATTACTTATGAATATGATTTTGATCACCTGTAGAGTTCAATACACCTATTTTTAATTTTGAAATTAGTGACAAATAATTCATGTTTTTGGATATCATTATGCAAATAAATCATATCCGTTTAATAAGCGTGCTTACGGTACCTCAGGCTAACTTAGAGCAAAAATAGTGGTATAAAAATATTCAAGCAAAAGACACAATTAAGAGAAATAATTACCTCACGAAGAAAGGAAAGAAACGATTTTTGGTCTCTTCGTCCTCCCATTCAAGCTCCATTTTCTGTTCTAGAGGATCCATTATTATGCTAAATCCGCCAAGTGGCCCAAGTCGTGGGACACTTGTAGCATCTAACGGAAGCTTTCTCAGCTTTGGACAGTTTCTTGCTACTACCTCTCTCAATAATGAAAAGGGAAGAGGACTCCAGTAGATACTCTCCAGCTTAGGCAACTCTCTTAACAATAACGATTCTAGTTTCTGAAGTGGTGTAATACGTGTCAGATTAAGATTGGTTGCTTTCTCTTAGTTTATAATTTCTTCCAATTCTTCTGAATATTTAAGGTCTAGGTCGGCAAGATTTGGAGCATACATTAGCCACGTCAGATCCTTAATGCTATGACAGTTTAGGGATGTCAAACGGGCTTATAATCCGCGGGTTTGGACCGTTAAGATCCATCACGGGGTGGATTTGGACATTTTTTTATAATCCGTTAATTAGCGGGTCTAGCGGATTAACCAGTCATAGGTTTCGGGTTTGGCAGGTTAACCCATAACGGATTTGCGGTTTAGCGGGTTTGTTCGCAAGTCATCAATTTTTTTTTAAAAAATTTGGTTCTACATTTAGTGAATGATTTTTCTTTGGTTTAGATAAATCATTTGAATAAATTAAATCATATAAAACAAAACCAAACACAAATAATTAATACAAAACCCGTCAATAATAAAACCAAACCAAACGCAAACACTTTTAGAGTTTTAGTTTTACGATTGATTAGTCGATTAGTCCTAACTTAAACAGAGTTACAGCAGAGTTAGAGCCATCGACCATCATCATCACTCATCACGCAAAGTCGGCAAACCAATTTCTGTGTTCAGGATTATAAAGAGGCAAAGAAGATCAATACTCCAAAAGTTGTTATGAAGAACTTTGTAAGTGTTTTTTCTAGCAACTTTATAATAAGAAACGATCAATGTTTATTTAGAATCTGTTTTCATAATAGTCGAAGTGTTCAGTTTTTAAAATTGCCAACATCTTGATCACTCGATGCATCATTGCCTCAATAGTAAACAATGTCGCTTCTTTGTTTGCAGAATTCACATGGATTCAGCTCTTTGAAATCGGTGGATTTTCAATCTCAAAAGCTTATTGATAAAGCAAATGCCGAAGAAGAACGACGACTTTTAGATGAAACAGAGGCAAGCTTTTCCATTGATATTGAAGATGATAATGACAGAGCAACATCATCGCAAACGACACAGATGAATCGCGATTCAGTTTTTGCAAAAAGAACATCATACTTCTCTTGGGTCAGAGAATGCAACACCTGCAACGCCTGCAAAAAACAAAAAACGAACTGTTGGCGAGGCTGAAGGTGATGATGACAAAGGAAAGTCATCTGAACCTAAGAAGAAGAAGCTACATTCAGATGTCTGGCCACACTTCAATGTGATAAGTAAGCTTGAAAATCAGGGAAGACTGTAGAGAAAGCAGTGTGTATTCATTCTAAGACAGAATATGCTCATGACACCCACAAGAATGGTCTAACCACTCTAAGACGCCATCTTGACAGATGCAAAGTTATGATTAGAGATGGTGATGTTGGTAAGATGATAATCAATGCTGAAGCAAAGTTGCAGGCACGAAAAATTGATCATTTGGTTTTTCATGAAATGGTAGCTAAATGTATCATTCAACATGATCTGCCACATGCGTATGTTGAATATGGGAGAGTTAGATCAGTGTGGAAGTATTTGAATGCAGATGTCAAGTTCAATACTCGAAATACGGCCGCAGCTGATGTCTACAAGTTTTATGAGAATGAGACAGCGAAGTTAAAGAGAGAGTTAGCTCAACTTTCAGGAAGGATTTGCTTCACTTCTGATTTATGTACTGCTATCACTCATGAGAGTTACATGTGTCTGACAGCACATTACATGGATAGCAACTGGAAATTGCAGAATAAAATTCTGGTTTTTTGTGCTTTTCCGCCTCCGCATACTGGTACACACTTAGCTACGGAGCTTCTTGAAAAGTTTAAGGACTGGGGAATAGAAAAGAAAGTGTTCTCTATAACTTTAGATAATGCTACTAGCAATGATAATATGCAGGAGATTTTAAAATCACAACTTCTGTTGCGTGATGATTTGGTGTGTGGAGGAGAGTTTTTTCATGTTAGATGCTCCACTCATATTCTTAATCTCATTGTTCAAGATGGGCTGAAAGTGATTGGTGATTCTTTGAGGAGTATTAGGGAGAGCATCAAATATGTTGGAGCTTCCGAGTCTCGTGAAAATCTATTTGTGAAATGTGTTGAAAGAGTTGGTATAAAATCCCAAGCTGGTTTGATATTGGATGTCACCACTCGATGGAATTCAACCTACCATATGCTTGAAAGGGCGATCAGATATAGAGATGCTTTTGTGAATTTGAAGATCATTGATGGAAAAAACTACAAGTTTCTCCCAACAAAAAATGAGTGGCATGTAGGAAAGATGATTTGCGATTTTCTGGAGCTTTTTGATGAAATAACGCATCTGATGTCAGGTTCGACTTATCCCACTTCAAATTTTTATTTTATGCAAGTTTGGAAGATTCAAATTTGGTTGAAAGATCATGCAGCTCATAGGAATGTGGTTATTAGATAAATGGTTAAGGTTGTGCAGGAGAAGTTTGACAAGTATGGAGAAGAGTATAGTGATATTCTTGCAATGGCTACTGTGTTTGATCCGAGATTCAAGTTTACACTTGCATAATCTTGCAATGGCTACCGGGTCATTTGGGCGCGGATTAGCCCGTTTGACACCCCTATATACGCACAATAGAGAGGTTGTTAAGAAGTGGACTTGTCGGATTGTGTAATTAAGTACTTTCTCTGCACTTCAGATTTGTATTAATCTCCAATACATGATTACTTTCCACCAAGAGAAAACGAAGATTTTCCATATTCACCAGCAATGATATATTGAAGGTAGTTTGTTGAAAATTGTAAATCTCGAGAATATCGATGCAGTTCGCCAACCTTTGATCTCCTGATAATTTCTCCAAACCCAATTTCGTAGATATGGTTATGGTTCGAACTTGTAGATGCTCCAAGAGCTGCAGCTCCTTCACTAAGCCAACATCTCCATGAACATTAGAATGATGTAATTTCAAAATTCTTAAACTTGACAACTTTGATACTCCACTGATGCTACGAAGACTGTTTGTAAAGCTCAAATTCAGGTGAGTAAGTTTTTTCAACTCTTGGAATCCAACAGGCAGTTTCTCTATACTTGTCCACGACAAGTCAAGATACCGCAAGGATGCCAACTCCTATATCTGCTCTGGAAGTTCACTGAATTTGCTATTATCTAATAGATCCAAAACAACTAGCTTTTGCATAGAGCAGATGAATTCACATGAGAGATTCTTCAATTCATTATTCTGGAGGAGCAAAGTTATAACTTCAGACCACTTGGAACCCCAATTTATCTCTTCAATATCATTATTCATTAATGACATCCTTCTCACAGCTCCACAATCCTGGACTTCTGGCATTTTACATAATCGAACTCTTGCTTGCACAACAAAAGTCTCTTTCTGTTTTCCAAAACATGATGCAATCCAGAGTGCCATTTCACGAACCACATCATGCATCACAACTCTCTCTGTATCAATCTCCATCAGTAAATTTGCACGGACAAGAGTACCAACTTTCTCATGACCCTTATTCACTGCTCTTTTTAGAAATTGGTATTTCCCAATGAATCCCTCGCATATCCAGTACTTTATAAGCTCGATTATCCTCTGGAAACAGAGCACAATAGAGAAAACATAACTTGATATTTTCATCCACCAAGCTATCATAGCTGTACTTCAGAATTGGAAGAATTTTATTCTCCATGTCAGAAAACTCTGCAGCGGATCTAGCCAAAACATCGTTCGCATGCTCCCATTCTTGTACCGTAGTTTGAGATGCCATTGTCTCACCAATGACACTGAGCGCTAGTGGCAGACCACGACATTTCTCAGCGACCTTTCTTGCAAGCTCTACAATGACATGATCGCTTAAAGTATTGTCTCCAACCTTGCTTTTGAACAATTCCCAAGCTTCATTACGTTCCAAACACTTAACTTGCATCGGCTCATGATCCCCCATTGATAGGGCTCAGGTTTTACCCAAATAAAAACTACTGCAAGTGCACAACAAAGCAGTCGTAGTATAAAGGGTATCGAATCCCAAAAGCATATGTAAACTACACTAGAGATTTCAAATTCAGATTAAGTTTAGCAATAGATAGTGTATGTAATGCGAAATAACAAAATAAAAGATAGCAGGCAAAATTTGGTTGTTCTAAGATTCAGAGAACTAAAAGCGCTAAGTCATGACAATTCGCAGGTTAAATCTAAAAATATAGAATGCATAAAATCAGGAATGATTAAGAACCGTCTTGAACATGAATCGCAAATATATCACTAATCAATTCTCATTGAAGAAGTTAACTATGTCTAAATCACAGAGTTTCAAATCTCTTTGCAAACCCTAACAATATAAACATGAACTAATGATCAAGTTCAATTGTTCACAAAACTCCTAAGCCAAATCTCTTTGCACTAAGTTGTTTTGCTCATCTAATGCCAGATCAGATTATCAATAATGCTCTCACATCTATTAAACAACCTATGATTTTTTGGATTTCTAGATGATATGTCTAAGAAATCGATTTTCGAGCAAACATAGATGAAGAACCAAAAGATATTCCTAACAGATAGCAATTCTACAAACTCTTCATCAACCTTTGAAAAGCTCTAACTTAACTAGCAAATTACTCAGACATGATCATGGAATCACAAAACATAACTGAATAAAATTGCATTACGAGAATAGAATAAAAGACAAAGGAGGTTCGAAATCTTCTCCAAAAAGAGTACATGATCTGTCTCCCCAAAAGCTCTAAAGAAAATCCTCTCTAAAGCTCTCTGAATTCTCAAAATCTAGTATCCCCCAAAAGCCAACAATGGCTGAAAACCTAATATATACAAGCTAAAACACGATCTGGGGTGTTCTTACAAATACTAGAACTTCTTGGCCAATTCTGCAAATACTCTTCAATCTTTTAACAAATCAGCCACGAGCCTTCCTTTACGGGTGACGAGCGTCACCATAGGTGGTGACGAGCGTCACCCAAATCCATACTTTCTTTACCGAGTTGCACACTTCGTGGCTTCATCCTGCAATGCTCCAAAAAGCTTCAATATATCCAATTATGCTCCATACATGCTATAACCTGCAAAGACTCTACTAGAACTCTTAAAAAACCAAAAAGACTCAAATAAAAAGGATTTATACCATGGTTAAAAACCATAAAAACCATGATATATCAACTCTCCTAGACTTAGCTTTTGCTTGCCCTCAAGCAAACATCAGACATAGAACAAGGTCGAGGTTTAAAAACAAGAAACAGTCAGCTAAACATCAGGAACACCATATTAGTTAACACTTTCGAATCCACATACCACAGAGTCAACACAAGATCAAATTTCAGTCTAATCATCACAAGCTTAGCAAATCTCTCAAGTCCAGTCCAAATCCTTTCAAGAAAACCGAAATCTCTGCTGCTAACTCCTTATATCTATCTAAGTGTGATTTCTCATCAAAGTTTTATCATCTCAATCACTTACATATTCTTTTCCCTTCCTAGACAACTGAACAAAGCAATCTCAACACAGCTTTCCTATTTTTTCTTCCCTTAATCTTTTTTCTTTCTGCTTTTTTTTTATTTCTCTTATCTTATTTTTTATAGTCTAAGATATGGTGCTACTCAATACTTGTGTTCCTTGTGAGGAGACAGGTTCTTGAGTGTGTTCATTACTGTTGTTCCTTGTGAGGAGACAGGGTCATGAATGCACCATTTTTTTTACTCAAACTTTTAAAAACTGCATCAGGGAAGATCAAAGAGAGACTGCATCTAAACATACTTGTCAGTGTTGAAAGAGAGAATCAAGATCAATGAGAATCAAACCTCAAGATAAGAAGTTTAAAGTTCATTAAGGTGGAGCTAACAGCAAATTTTTCAGATTCTTTAAGAACCTAAACCTTTTTTGCTAGACTGATCTACCTATGATATTCAACTTAGTAAGACTTGTAATCAGCTACTGTGGCAATGGTTCTTAGAAGCATAAACGTCCTATGGTTAGTTCCAAGAAAAACTGACAGTTTCAAAATTTTGACACTATAAAAACAAGTTTTTGACTCAGCTTTAAGACTCTATAAACATGACACAAAGCACACAACATCAGTAGCCACCTCCCACTGTCCCCAGTGTTATTAAGCCAAGAGTTGGTGAAATTGAAGCATGAGAACTTGTAGAACCGAGTTGAAAAGGTGGTAACTCGCGAAATGACGGGTGACGAGCGTCACCAGCTTGGTGACAAGCGTCACCACGTCTGAAACTCCAAAATCATCAAGTCAGATGTGTATAAACATTATGTTATCATGTGTACTCTAAAGTCAGACTATTAGAGCACTTAACCACACATTTAATAACATCCAAAAATAGCAATAGAAACCTGGTTCAACAATCTCACAATACATCATCAAAGTAACTGACAACTGACTCAAAAAAAACATAAAAATGACTCAAGAGAAATAAAAGAAAAGAGAAATAGAAACAAGTAACCAGATTGTATAGGCTCTAATCCTCATCCTCGCAAGACACGGTAGTGTAGTGTGGGCGGAAACAACCACAGTTGCTAAGTGTAGCAACAACATCCCATAGTCCCTTAAAGCTGTCAATGACATAATTCTGAAAAGCAGCCATGTCCATGGGTGTCTGTGGTCGCGAAGAGCGCCTGAAAACAGTGGTTTGGCGCCTGGATGGTCTGGCAGTAGCAGCAGTGGAAGCGCCAGTTGTAGCAGCTCTAGCTGGACGCTGAGGAACATGACGCATCAGACTCGGATCTGGCAGAAAGCGCAGCTGGCGTATGACGCCCTGGATCATAGTGAGCGCGCTGTTTGGCAACTGTATGCCAACATACTCTCCAGCAGTGGTAGTGATTGTCTAGACAACTCGAAGCTTGAGCCAATTAGCATTGCGCAGATGCTACTCATCCATGAGGGCTCTGTCAGTGCGAATGCTGCAAGGTGATACATCGATCTGAAAGTGCTGGAAGATCGGTGTCAGGAGGCTGTCCACACTCTTAGTCTTCTCCCATGGACTGGTGAATGGCTTGGTCTTCAAGGAGACCAAATGCTCAGCGAAAATAATACCAAAATTGCCGGGGATCATGCTCTCCATGAGTATCTCCTCAGCCAACATATCAGCGAAGCCATAGTAGAGCAGAATCAGCTCACTAACACGCGTCTTACTCGGTGCAGACTTGCACAAGATAATGTTGCCTAGAAGGCGCAGAATGTACCGCATAACTGGATGTCGAACGTCCGTCTGTGTGCTCGTCTTGCTGTCATAGACTCCATTCCCGAACTTGGACCAGAATGTCTGCATGTGGGTCCACTGTGAGGGAAGGAGAACGCCTGTAGGGTGGTTAGAGAAACCATAAATCCCGCAAAGCTCCATCATACTGATCCTGTAGCGAATCCCGCGGATCAGGAAAGTCAGCGTGCCTTCATGCACACGCTTAGCCATCTCATTTGCGTAGTACACGCGAGCACTGGAGAGGAGCTGGCGAACCAGGTCTGGGTACACATCGTACTGCTGTAGTGGCATAATTCCCATCCCAATCCTTTCGAGAGTCTCCAGAACCTCATCCAGAATACCCATCTTCTGCAGCACGGTGGTGTATGCGAATCTGGTGGGTATGATCTTCACCTCCTGCCACGCAATGTAGAACAGCGTGTCATACTCATCCCACTCCTTTTGAATGTCACGGAATACACAGGTATCCCGCGCTATCTCCTGCTCCGGAGTTCCTGCCCAAGTCACTCCTGAAGCGATGTTCTGATCCTCTCGCTTTGGCCATGAAGGCCTACAAATTGGGTAACTGCTGTATGACTGTGATGAGCCTGATGCATCGAGGCATCTGAAAATTCAAGCCAAAAATCAACAAAAAAACATCACCAAAATCAGCAAATTTTCGAAATTTCAAAAAATTAATGAATCAAGGTGAAACAACTGATGGCAATCAACAACAGTACTACCAGGAACGTAATTTAGGCATCAGTTCAACCCAAATCACCAAAAATTACCAGATTTTTACAAATTTTATCATGAACTCAAAATTTCAAAAACTTGCAAATCAACCGATTAAATTACATATGGATGATATCATTCATCTAATTCAACCTAACTAACTATGATTCATCAGTTAAATCAAGCTAATCAAGTCGAAAATCAATACCAAACCTATGGCACACTGAAAATTGGGGATTCCGAACACATATCTTGCAGATCTTGAAAACTGAGTGGATATTATGAAAGAGGGCCAAAATCTGCATGGATAGACTTTTGAATCACTCAATTTGGTTAACAAAATCAAAAGTTATGAATTTGAATAAAACTGTCCTAAGTTCGTTATTTTCACAGTCTGCTCGAGGAAGAAGAAGAAGAGAGTATAAAACGCGTACCTGGGCTGGACTGGTGACGAAACTCACCTTAAGGGTAACGAGCGTCACCCGTTTTTTTTTTTTATTCGTCATTTTTTTAATTAACTAATAAATATATGTACACGAAAATAAATTATAAAGTACAGAAAATAAAACTTACCAGTGGGTTGCCTCATACTAAGCGCTTGTTTAACGTCATTAGCTCGACTTTGATTAGCTGTTTAGACAGCTGGTGCATCATCCAGAGACACCATGTGTCCTGCTGGAATCTCGGCTTGCACTCAATAGTGCTTCACCCTCTGTCCATTGACAGTGAACTCCTATCCTTTGGAGTTGATCATGACAATGGCGCCATGTGGTCTAGCCTCATTGACAGTGAACATACCTGACCATCAAGAATGCAGTTTACCAGGAAAAGGCTGTAAACGAGAGTTGTAAAGGAGTACCTGGTCATTGGGCTCGAAATGTCTAGAGATGATCTTCTTATCATGATATGCCTTTGTCCTCTCCTTGTATAATTTGGAGTTTTCATAGGCAGATATCTGATTTCATCCAGTTCATTGAGCTAAATCAAGCGCCTTCTGCAACAGGTTTCAGATCGAAGTTCAGTTTCTTGATAGCCCATTCTGCTTTGAACTCTAGCTCCATTGGTAGATGGCATGCCTTGCCATAGAGCAGATGGAATGGTGTAGTCCCAAGAGGCGTTTTGAATACCGTCATGTAAGCCCATAATGCATCATCCAGTTTTGCTGACCAATCCTTCCTTGTTTTCCCAACTGTCTTCTCCAGAATCTGCTTGATATGTCTGTTGGAAACCTCAACTTGTCCACTGGTCTGGGGATGATAAGGCGTGGCCACTCTGTGGTGTACACCATACTTCTTCAGCAGCTTGTCAAAGGCCTTGTTAACAAAGTGAGAACCACCATCACTTATAACAATTCACGAGGCACAAAATCTGGGGAAAATAATGGTCTTAAACAGCTTCAAAACCACTGTAGCATCATTATTAGGAGTATCCAATGCCTCTACCCACTTAGACACATAGTCAACAGCTACCAGAATGTATCTATTCCCATAAGATGAGGGGAAAGGGCCCATGAAGTCAATACCCCAACAATCAAAGCCTTCAACTTCAAGGATGAAGTTCTGTGGCATCTCATGTCTTCGACTGACCTTTCCTCTTCTCTGAAAAGTATCACAACTTGTAATGAATGCCTGGGCGTCCCTGAACATAGTAGGCCACCAAAAACCATCTTGAAGAACCTTGGAGACTGTTTTGAATGTGGCAAAAAGTCCAGCATACTCTGAGCCATGACAGTGAAATAGGACGTCTTGGACTTCTTCCTTTGCTATGCATATCCTGTAAATCCCATTAGCACAATGTCTGTAAAGATATGGCTCATCCCAATAAAATCTCCTAAGTTCTCTCAAGAATTTCTTCTTAGCATCGCCCTTGAAATCATGTGGTTCATCCTCTGCAGCAAGATAATTAGCAATATCAGCATACCAGGGCCTCTTTGGATCATCCAAAGCATAAACTTGCTAACCTCCAGAAGTGCTCATTTTGTACTAACAAGCTTGTTTTCTTAGGCTCTGTTGTAAGTGAACAGAGGCTACAAGTGGATGAGGAAAAGATCAAAGCTATAAGAGAATGGTCAACACCAACTACTATCGAACAAGTGTGAAGCTTCCATGGGCTGGCCAGCTTCTATAGACGTTTTGTGCGAGGTTTTAGAACCGTAGCAGCACCACTCACTGCCGTGATCAAGAAGAATGCACCATTCAGTTGGGGGTCAGCTCAAGACGCTGCTTTCAACACGCTTAAGGACCGGCTTACACAAGCACCGGTACTGGCCCTTCCTGACTTTGACGAGATGTTTGAGGTCGAGTGTGATGCTTCCGAAGTCGGCATTGGAGCAGTACTACATCAACGCAAGAAGCCCGTGGCATTTTTCAATGAGAAGCTAAGTGGAGCTACGCTGAGCTATCCTACCTACGACAAGCAGCTGTATGCGTTGGTTAGAGCCTTAGAGATGTGGCAACACTATCTACTTTCCAAGGAGTTCATCATCCATACTGACCATGAAACCTTAGAGCATCTACGAGGGCAAACAACATTGAAGAGGAGACATGCCAAATGGTTGGAGTTCATGGAGACCTTTCCGTATATGATCAAGTACAAGAAAGGCAAGGAGAATGTAATAGCCGATGTTTTATCAAGGAGACATGCCTTAATATCCACTATGGAGGCCAGGGTTCTTGGGTTTGAGCACGTCAAGATGTTATACGATACTGACCCGGAGCTAAGTGAGGCTTACAAGGAGAGCGGTACGGGAGCTTTCAAGCAGTTTTACATACACGAGGGCTTTCTATTCAGAGACAAGCGGCTATGCATTCCTCAAGGGTCCATGAGAGAGCTAGTGCTTAGTGAAGCTCACGGTGTCGGGTTAATAGGACATTTCGGGGTGGATAAGACCTTAGCCGTCATTGTAGAGCACTTTTATTGGACCCATCTTAAGAGAGACGTGGAGCGGTTCCAGGTTACACCCTCACGGCTTATACTTACCCTTACCTATACCTACCGCTCCTTGGGAGGATATCTCTAGGGATTTTGTCTTAGGTTTTCCCAAGATCAAACAAAAGGATTCCATATTTGTTGTTGTTGAGCGGTTCTCTAAGATGGCCCATTTCATCCCATGTGAGAAGACCAACGATGTTACACAAATAGCTGATCTATTCTTCAAAGAGGTGGTGTGCTTGCATGGCATTCCCCGCACCATTGTATCTGACCGTGACACCAAGTTTCTTAGCCATTTTTGGCGAACATTGTGGAGGAAGTTAGGTACCAAACTGTTGTTTTCCCCCACTTGTCACCCTCAAACGGATGGTCAAACCGAAGTGGTAAACCGTACCTTATCTACTTAACTTAGGGCAACACTTAGTAGAAACATGAAAACTTGGTTAGATTGCATTCCATTCATTGAATTTGCATACAACCGTGCTACTCACTCGCTTCTAAGTTGTCCCCTTTTGAAGTTGTCTATGGAGTTAACCCTTTGTCACCATTGGATCTCATACCTATCCCACAAACGGAGCAAGCTATCCTGGATGGTCTAAACCGAGGAGAAAACATCAAGAAGTTTCATCTAAAGGCAAAGGAGAACATAGAGAAGAAGACGGAAGAATATAGAAGATAGCGGAGTAGGGGAGGAAGCAACTGACCTTTGAGCCTGGAGATTGGGTGTGGCTTCACATGAGAATGGTTCCCACACAAGCGCGCCTCTAAGTTACCTCCACGAGGCGACAGGCCGTTCAAAGTCATCGCTAAGATCAACGATAACGCTTACCGCTTGGAGCTGCCAGGTGAGTATAACATTTCCCACACGTTTAATGTCGCTGATCTCTCTGTTTATGACGCAGGTGAACCAGTTTTTAGGTCAAAACCTCCTGAAGAGGGTGGGAATGATGAGGACATCGATCCAAATGAAGACATTGACCAAGTACCCGAGGTTCGTGAGGCCCCCATGACACGTTCAAGGACAAAGCAGCTGAGAAAGAGGTTCAATTTGGCCATAGAAAACATCATACAATCATTCGGACCAGAGGAACTTCTCTCACTTGGAACGGGACATGACGGTATGACGGGTCGTACCGCGGGTCGATGACGGGATGTACCGCGGGGCAGATTGACGAAACCTCACACGATGACATCATTGATGGTTTTAACCGTCTTGTCATCCATTCGCCACGCCAAGGTAAGGTCATCAACCTATCCATACATACTTTACCGATTACTAACCTTGCAGGAACGTTCACGTTGGATGAGCTTCATACTCACCAAGACCACATCACAACAAGTTCAATGGAAGAGATACAAGAAGGCTGGAACGATACAAGTGAGGATAGCAACCAAGCTACGAGTGAGGATACTTCAAGCTTCAAGACTCAAGTGCAATAAGAGTATAGAGACCACCCTTCAGTCGAGACAAACGCTATCACCAACCGCCATTACTATGCACGCCAAAATAAGGTATACTTAATTTATAACATTCGTGCAGGTGAAGCAACATGTCCTAACGGTTCTTAGCAGCCACGAGTGATCATCAGTTCGAGTCCCAGCTAGAGTCAAGAAGAAGCGGCTTAGTTTTATTTTCTCTTTTTAGTTAATGAACTTTCCTTTTATAGTTTTCTTTGCTTTGTACGCTTAGTAGTTAGCTTGTGTCGTTTCTTTTGTGTTTTGTTTTGTTCTTTTGCATTTTGTTTTTGGCCTTAGGGCTAGCTGATATGACCATTTATAAGTTCCCATTGCAGCCGTGTAATGTGGTTGCCTTTGATTATCAATAAAAGCGCCGAACTTTCTTCAACAAGTTCTTGAGAAGCTTTTCTCACTTTTGCTTGATTTCTAGAGTGGATTCTCTTGAGGTTGAGCCGTGTTGTATCAGAGTCTCATCACAACTCTGTGGTACACTTTGATTCGCCAACAAACCCCTTTACTTTGATACCACACGAGAAAGCGATCACCAACGTGTTAGATCTTCATCATCGACCATTAAACGAGTACAAGAGAGAGCGACCGCCAGCTTGTATTCACCACCACCATCCGGTTCATATAACTTCATCCGAGTCTTATATCATCTGGTATCAGAGCCAAAGGTTCCTACCTTTAGTTTTTCTATTCCTTTTGCTTTATAGATCCGCTTGATAGCCTTAGTTATTTCATTGTTTGCTTGTGTTTCTTTGCTTTGCTTATTCAAAAACCCATAAGAATCTGATACGATTAGTTGATTAATGGTTTTGGGTTTTGATGGTTTTCCTTTTAACTATTGGTTTGGTGTTATTCCTTTTTACTTTAGCTTTGAGCGTTTTCCTTTTAGCATTAGGTTTTACTATCTAAAGTTGTCGTGGCTTATATAATGGTCTTTTATGATGAATGAGAAATCAACTTCCAAGCATTAACCTTAATCTCCAAGAGAGACTAGGGTTAAAGGAAGCTTAGCTAAATTTCTTTGTCCTTTCGTTAATCACGGCTCCTAGGAAGAAGAACTCACCTGCTCATACTACTAGGCTTACACAAGCTCAAGCTAAAGCAGAGGCTGAAGAAGAGGCTCGTGCCAATTTGGTATCAGAGCCGAACGATCCAATGGCGGACATGACCACGATCTCGTCACAGCTTGCTCTCTTAATGGAGCGCCTGGATGGCATTAGAGAGAAGGTATAAACTCTTACTGAAAAAATTGAAACCCTTGAAGCACTCACTTTAGCTCAAAGGACAAAATCAGGACCTCAAAAGGGCTAGTGACCTAAACCAAGGACCAGCAATTAAATTCACAACGAAAGAGCTTTCTGAAGTTGAGGGTTTAAGTGAGAGCAAGGAAAGCAGAAGAAGGACCCTGCCAGCAGTACCAGAAGCCGGAATGAGTTCAACTCCAGCACAATTCAATAAACATGTATCTGCAATTAGTGGAGGGATGATGAGAGATGAGCAAAAAAAATTGCTTTCTCAGGTGGACCATGGCCAACTCGGGCTGTGGGTAGGGAGCAAGACCATCATCATGCAGATGGTGGAGGAAATTGGCATGTGAAGCCAATAGGGGTAAATACTAACGAGTATCCACAAAACTATCCCTATGGTGATTTTTGATTGCATGAAGACAGGACTTGGAAAAGTAATTACCAGGCTCACGATGGAAGAGGCAACAACTCTGAAAGGCATGTTATACCAGCAGAGAAGATGGAATTTCCACCTTATGATGGCACCACAAACGCCATTAAATGGCTACAAAATTGTGATAACTATTTTGAGGATCAAGGAGTGTTCAATGATGATGCGAAAATTTGACAAGCTACATTTGTTTTAACAGGACAAGCATATCAATAGAATAACAATCTCCGACGTTTAATCACTCATAAGTTAAGTTGGACTGAATCCAAAAGGATTTGCAAAAGTTGTTTTGGTAAAGCAGATTCAGTCAATCCGGTGGGGGAGTTGTCTAATTTAAGACACACAGGAACGGTAGATGAATACTGCAACCAGTTTGAAGAGTGTCTTGGCCGGCAAAGAAGACTTACTGGGGACCAACAACTCTGGCAGTTTTGTGCAGGGTTGACGGACAGTTTGCGAAAAGAAGTAGAGTACCTTCGTCCTGAAACAATCTTCGCAGTCATGGAGTATGCTAGAGACAATGAATACAAGATCGAAGGGGACACTAGAATACGCACGTTTGGAGGACATAGGGCTCCACTAGCTAGACAGTTAGTCCAAATATCAGGGGATAAAGAAGCTTTGCTATCGCAACAAGAGGAAGCAAAACAAGTTCCACAAAAGCAATACTGGAAGAAGTTGACTAAGGCAGAAATGGCAGAGCGACGAGCAAAAGGACTTTGTTTCAATTGCGATGAACTTTTCATGAGAGAGCATGTTTGTAACCCAATGCTTTTCCATATAAAGATTGTCATGGACGGAGATAATTAAGAGGATGAATCGATCGGAGAAGAGGACCTTCCAAGGAGCTTGAGGACAAGCTCCTAGTCGACGAGGGGAGTAATGATACGATTAGTTGATTAATGGTTTTGAGTTTTGATGGTTTTCCTTTTAACTATTGGTTTGGTGTTATTCCTTTTTACATTAGCTTTGAGCGTTTTCCTTTTAGCATTAGGTTTTACTATCTAAAGTTGTCGTGGCCTATATAATGGTCTTTTATGATGAATGAGAAATCAACTTCCAAGCATTAACCTTAATCTCCAAGAGAGACTAGGGTTAAAGGAAGCTTAGCTAAATCGCTTTGTCCTTTCATTAATCATGGCTCCTAGGAAGAAGAAGTCACCAGCTCATACTTCTAGGCTTACACGAGCTCAAGCTAAAGCAGAGGCTGAAGAAGAGGCTCGTATCAGAATCATTTGTTTACTCCTTTTTTAATCTTTTGTTTAAAAGTTTCATAAAAAGAAAACCCCAAAATTATTAGATCCGATTTGCATATTATTTTTCTCTCATTTTGAATTTTAAAACCATCTTTCATAAAAACCCATAAAAAGTTTTCTTTGTGTTTCACGCTTGCTAGTCTTGCTTATTGATCTGTTTATTGTTTCTATAGTCAAGTAATAGTTGTAGTAAGCCTTGTCTCTTTTTCGTTGGTATCTTGACCATTTGCTAAGTGTTTGCAAGGAATATCATGTAGCAACACAATGACGGATGGAGAGGCAACCCCCCCCCCCCCCCCCCCCCCCCCCCAAGATGCTATGATGCAAATGTTTACGGCTATAAGGGAGGATTTCAAGACCAAGACCGAGACAGTAGGGACTATGAGCCAAGAGTTTGGTGCTAGGATTGATTAAATGGAGGCACGGCCGAGGAGAGCTCCCATACATGGAGATCCATTCCTCCAGAGCCTGATGATGACATGACCGATATAGATGAGGACATTCGTGACCCTATACGACGTCCACAGCCGAGGCGACAAGATCCCCTCCAAAGAAATCCTGCTTGTGAGGTAGACCCTAGAGAGCAAAACCATGATATTAAACTAACTCCTCCCACTTTTGCAGGTAAATCAAACCCGGAGGTTTACATGGACTGGGAGCGAAGGATGGACCACATCTTCGCGTGTTATGGGTATGCCGAGCGCAAGAAGTTGGCCGTAGCTGCTGCCAACCTCACGGAGATTGCCCTCGCGTGGTGGGATAGGACTGTAGCCGAGAGGAGACGCCAACGTTTCGGACCAGTCTCGGCTTGGAGTGATATGAAGTTCCTTCTCCGCCAAAGGTATGTGCCAGAACATTATCGTAGAGACTTACATAAACGTTTTTGTAAGTTGGCACAGGGAACTAGGAGCGTTGAAGAGTACTTCGAGAAGTTTGAGAAGCTAATGAACTCGCTAGAGCTAGAGGAGTCAGAGGAAACTCTAATGGCGCAGTTTATAGATGGGCTTCAAGAGAGGATAGCTTAGAGGTGGAACGAGCTCAATACAGTGGATTACACGAGCTGCTACACCTCTCGGTGCAAGTAGAGCAGCAAATCAAGCGCAAGACCTCTTACACTGGTCGGAGCCGAGCCACTCAACCGTGGACAGCAAGTGGTTCTAAACCACTAGACAAGGGTAAAGCGATTGAGATTGATTCACGGTTCAAAAGCAAGCCATCTGAACCCTCCAAATCCAACCGTGCTGATCAAGTTAAGTTCTCTAGTAACCAATCAAGGACTCGGGATATAACTTTTTTTAAAGGAGAAAAAGAAACATAATAGATATTGACATAATTTATTTTCACAAATTTCGGACAACCCAATAAGATTTTTATCTTGGCGCTGAAATTTGATGTATGTTTATGACAACAGTTCCAAACCCTAAACACATGACTTCACCACCTACCAAATTGAATCATCAAGTCTTCACAAACAAAATTAGTGATTGTTCAACATCTCCGCTCAATTTTAAGACTCATTCCAAACCCTAAACACCTATGTCTTCATCACCGAAGGCAAGAATATGATTATTGGTTGAAAAGTAAAACGAAAATAGCAATTAAAGCTGTGTAGATACAATTAAAGTAAACTTTGGGATAAAGGAAATTTGCAGGAATTAGAGGTCATGAACCAAACAATTATGCAGCGAAGAAATAAGCACAGTCTTGAACTCAAATATAAATTTATAATCAATCCACTGTGGTATTAGAAAATTTATCTAGCAATCTAAGATTATAAATTGTCATTTGAACTGAGAATTGTAAACAACCATTAATGAACAGATTCAATTTGTTCAAAGATCGCCTTATCATCAGCTTCCATTGGCTAAAGACAATCTGCTCACATATGTTCTTATCAAACAATCTATAACACTTTTCATGAATAGATTAAACCTTAAATCAGAGACTAAGTGATCAATTCAGTCTAAGCAAAAATCACAACAATAGGTGAAGACAACAAATAAATAATCCATATCTATGTCTGATTCAATGATTCATAAATCCTTTGAAACCCTAAACCAAACTAAGAAACTACTCAGAAATGGAAGCAGAGAAACAACAAGTATATGAAGAGAAATTCATATCAATAAATAAGAAATCCATAGGGGTTCAAAATTATTTTCAAAAGATGTAGAGAGTCTTCTTTCCAAGCTTACAAAGCACCAAAACCAAAAGGGAGAATCTAAAATAATGTGTTTTTGTAGCCTAAACAATGGCTAAAAATAAGTATATATAAGTCTAGGGCTGAAATAGGTTGAGTTATGATGATTCTAAGACAAAACAGGAAGTTGCATATTGCCTTTTTCGTCTTGGGCAGGGAACGATCATTCTGGTATAGATGATCATTCTTAAAAGTTCTCGGAAATTTTTATGATGTCGGATGGATTGTCCTGGAAGTCGAACGATCGTTCTGATGATTCTTTCAGTGCATGCTTCATCTGGACGCCAGACTGGACTACTTTCACGAAAACTGGCCTAATGTTTGATCTCACCATTAGATTGACTTCAAACCACTTCCAAATAAAAGCTAACTCAAAGATCTAGCTTGTGTCCAAAATTCAGCTCGATACATCAGTGGAACATACTTCAACGGATGCCAAACTTCAGAAATTCTTGCATAGTTCTGCATTAACATACGTTTGTGTGCCTCCAAAATGTCTCATTTTCTTCCAAAGCGACTTAAAACCTGAAAATGCTCTATAAAGGACTAAAATACTCTAAAATAAATACTTTAGCTTGAAAAATCATTGAAAATCTTAGGGTAAAAAGCCTTAAAAATCCAATATATCAACTTCCCCAAACTTAAGATTTTGCTTGTCCTCAAGCAAATACTAAATATAGAGTTGAGGTTTGAAAACAATGGAACTTATAAACTATCTGAAACGCCACATTGATCAACACTCTTGAACCCACATACCACATAATCAACATTAGATAATATGTCAGTATACTTACCACAAGCTTATTAATCGTCATATATACAGTTCGGCATCCCTTAGAGAAATCTGAATTCTCCATTGTTGACCCCTTTAATTCATTTAGGCGTGCAGTCTCATCGAGGGAGTATCAATCAAATAACTTATAGATTATTTCCCTTACAAGCTCCTGAACATAGACAATCTCGGTACAACTCCCTTATTTTCTATTCACTTACTCAATTTCTCCCTACTTTTCTAGGGTGTCCTTTCTATTTTTTTTATCGACTTTTCTTTTCTTTTCTTAGCTTAAGAAAGGTGTGATTCACTATTTGTGTTCCTTGTGAAAAGACAGGTTCATGAGTACTCACTATTTGTGTTCCTTGTGAGAGGACATAGGTTCATGAGTACAGGCCTCACCATTATTAAACTTACTCTTTTTTATAAGGTAAAATCAAAGAGAGACTGCACATAACATGTCTTGTCAGTGCTGAAAAAAGAATCAGGTTTAATGTATACCAAGCCCTAAGATAAGAAGTTAAAGTTCATAAGGTGCACAGTCATATTTGGATCCTTCAAACTCTCTAGAAACATAAACTTTCTCTCTTAGATTGATCCACTCATAGTGTTCTACCTAGTAAAATCTGCAATCGATTGCTGTGGTAATGGTCCTTCAAACATCAATGCAATGTGGTTAGTTCCAAGAAAATTTCATATTTCCCAACACAATTTTGACTCAATAAAAAAACTTAGACTGACTCAAGGAAAACATCAAAATGACGCAAAGGAAAAACAAAAGAGAGAAACCAATGTCAGTAAACAATAAATACCCTCCCCCAGACTTACTTCACATCGTCTTGGTGTGAAAATAAATCAAGAGAAAGGTAAAACAAACCTAAAGAAAAATAAAATAAAATAAAACTTACATGTAGGTTGCCTCCCACCAAGGGTTTGTTTTAAGTCATTAACTTGATTTTGAGCACATATGTTAATAATGAGGATCAAAAGGCTTAGCTAGTGCACCTTTGGTCCTTCTCCTGTTTGTGCAAGAAACAAAATGTGAAAAATTGCAAGCAATCATCCATGACAAAGAGACAAAACTCTCATGAAGAAAGTCCACTACAAATGTAGCATATATCTTTGAATCTTTTCCAAAGGTTAAATGTTCATGAGGATCAAATGCATTTGGTGGAAAGATAAAGTAATTTCAGGTTCAAAAGAGTTTATCACAAAATAATCAACTTCATCTCCATCAATCATGTATAACACAATATTTCCTCCAAGAATCGTAATCTTATGGTTCTCTATCTCATTCAAGATTTTATCAATATCAAATCCCTTTCAAAAAGAGATTTAGATTCCCCGGGCATTGAAAGATTAAACTCAAGATCATGAACATTCATAGAACATGGATAATTAATATTAAAGCACACTTCATGGTAATCTCTATCAATCTTTTCTACTCTTAAGGTATCTAGTCTTTCAGACTCACATATTAAATCATAGCACTCATCAATGAGCAGGGGAGTGAAACTAGAAGCTATATCTTCAATGCAAGGCATGTCATCATCATGAGATTCAAAGGTTGAGAACTGTCTACCTTATATTGGGCTTTGTGGAATTTAATATATTACCTCTTTAAGTGCATGAGCTATCTATATCTCATAGTACGTGATCTCCCTTCCTTCAAATGCTGGTCGATGTGACACAAGGTTCAATCAGATCAAAACTGCTAGATCACTCCTTGTCAAGGTTGGATTTTCTTTGTAAAGCTCATCCAAGTCGACTTTTTGTTCTATTGTGAGAACACTTTTATCAAGTGATGGCTTCACATATGGCTCATCTTGAATGTATTTCATCACATGTACCATCTTCTTCTTGTGGCCAATCATTGTAATCAATGGCCATCAACTATATGAAAAAAAAATACTAAAAGAAAAAGTTAGTGAAAGTTAGTGTCTTAGCATAAACTTCAAATCTAGATTCGCAGGTAACACAATTAGTCCCCGGCAACGGTGCAAAAAACTTTATACACAGAGTTTTAACCATATAGAATGAACTGCTGCAAGTGCACATCAAATGTTGTAGTAAAGTAAAGATCGAATCCACAAAGACAAAGTGTCATTCTACAAATCTTAATGAATGAAACTAAGCTAAGACAAGAATATGGTTATTGGTTGTAAACTAAAACAAAAATAGTGATAAAAACGGTGTAGAAACAGAGTTGTAAGTTCACAACACTTGGAACCGCATGTTATCTCCTCAATCTTATTATCCATTAATGAGATCCTTGCCACAGCTTTCCAATCTTTGAATCTTGGTGTTTCGTGTAATATGATGCTTGCTTGCACAAAAAAGGTCTTTATTTGTCTCCAAAAATGGGATGCAATCCATAAAGCCATCCCAGGAACCACGTCATGCATCAAAACCTCTACTGTACCAACCTCCGTTAGTAAATTTGCATTGATAAGGGTCTGGAGTACATAATAACCCTTTTTTCTTCACTTTTTTGTAACTTCGTATTCCCCGAGGAGTCCTTTGCTTATCCAATAGTCTATAAACCTTTCTTTATCTATTTCATAAGCTTCTGAAAACAGGCGCAATACAGAAAGCACGACTTGATATGTTCATCCACCAAACTATCGTAGCTGTAACTCAGAATTGGAATAATACCATTTTCCATGTCAGGAAACTCTGAAGTGGATCTTGTCAACTCTTTGACTGCATGCTCCCATTCTGATCCAATAGCATATCAACCTTTCTTTATTTATCTCATAATATTCTGGAAACATAGCGTAATACAGAAAGCAGGACTTGATATGTTCATCCACCAAACTACCGTAGCTGTACTTCAGAATTGGAAAATACCATTTTCCATGTCAGGAAACTCTACAGCGAATCTTGTCAACTCTTCGACTGCATGCTCCCATGCTTGTACCATTGTTTTAGATACCATTGTCTCACCAGTGACAATGAGCTCTAGTGGCAGACCACGACATTTTAAAGCAACCTTTCTTGCATGCTCGACAAGCTTTAAATTTTCGTTTGAACTTAGAATTGTAAACAAGCAATAATGAACATGTTCATTTTGTTCACAGATACCCTTAGCATCAGCTTTCGTTGGCTAAGGACAATCTGATCACCTATGTTCTTATCAAGCAATATATAACACTTATGATGAATATTTTAAACCTTAAATTAGAGAGTTAGTGATCAATTCAGTCTAATCATTGAGCACAACAATAGGTGAAGACAGTAGATGAATAATCCCTATCTACGTCTGATTCAATGATTCATAAATCCTTTGAAACCCTAAACCTAACTAAGAAACTACTCGGATATGGAAGCAGAGAAACAGCAAGGAGATGAAGAGAAATTCATAATCAATAAATAAGAATGCCAAAGGGGTTCAAAAATCTTCTCAAAAGATGTAGACATTTTTGTCCTCAAGCTTGCAAAACACCAAAACCAAAAGGGAGAATAGAAAATAATGTGTTTTTGTAGCCTAAACAATGGCTAAAAATAAATTAATTAAGTCTAGGATTGAAATATGTTGAGTTAGGATGATTCCAAAACAAAACAGGAAGTTGCAGATTGCATTTTTTCGTCTGGTGGATGGGGGCTGGGAACGATTGTTCTGGTATTGAACAATCATTCTTAAAATTTCACAGAAATTTTTGTGATGTCGGATCGATCGTTCTGGAAGTGGAACGATCGTTCTGATGACTCCTTCTACGCATGCTTCATCTGGACGCCAGACTGGATTGCTTTCACGAAAACTGACATAACTTTTTATCTCACCGTTAGATTGATTCAAACCACTTCCAAATTAAATCTAACTCAAAGATCTAGTTTTAATCCAAAATTAAGCTTGATCCATTGGTAGGACGTACTTCAACGAATATCAAACTTCAGATGTTCTTGCATAATTCTGTATTAACATATGTTTGTTTGCCTCCAAAATGTTTTATTTTCTTCCAAAGCGACCTAAAACCTGAAAAGAATCTATAAAAGACTAAAAGACTCTAAAATAAATATTTTAGCTAGAAAAATTATAGAAAACCTTAAGGTAAAAAGCCTTAAAAACCTAATATATCAACTCTTCAATGGACTTTTCCTCAAGAAAAACATTTTTTAATGCCAAGAAGACTATATATGCTTTGATTTCTGATACTAACCGTCTTTTCTGCAAAAAGTGAACTTGCGACTATTGTAAAGAAACTGATATGTGATATGGCTACGGTGAAGCATATACTCTTCTCTTTTTGTATATTGCAGCTTTTGTGATTATCTGTATCTATTTTCTAAGTAAAATTTCTTAATATTTTATTATCAGTTGGAGACGTTCAAGAGGCAATTGATTCAAATCCTTGAGCACGCTCACGTCAGTAAGATATTTAAGTTTTGGCAGCTTCTACTATTACGTACACAATGCTTTTTTATCTGTTTATTTCTACAGAAAACATAAACTGTTGATATTACGACATGTGACCAGCTGATTCCTGGTCTAATCTAGTTTATACGTGATTCATGAACCTCATAAAGGTGTTGGGTGTGTTTGTACGTCCAAATGGCATGATAAGCCATTCATACAAGCCTATATTTATCTTAAACGTAGTCTTCCATTCATCACCTTCCTTCATCCTTACTTGATGGTAACCATTCTTTAAATCGATTTTTGAAAAGGTGGTGGCTCCATTAAGCTCACCTAGCATGTCATAAATCCTAGAAATTGGATGCTTATACTTTATGGTGATGTTGTTCGCAGCTCGGCAATCTACACACATCCTCCAAAACCCATCTTTCTTTGGCACAAGAAGGACTGGAACCGCACAAGGGCTCAAGCTTTCTCTGATGTAGCCTTTGGACATAATTTCTTCTACTTCCATCTCCAATTCCTTAGTCTCCTCGGGATTCACTCTATAAGCAGCTCGGTTGGGAAGGGGCGTGCCTGGTACCAAATCTATCTGGTGTTCAACACCTCTCAGCGGCGGTGGTAACCCTGGTGGAATGTCAGTCGGAAAGACATCTTCAAAACGGTCAAGTAGCTTACGTACTTCTTGTGGTAAGTCGGTTTCTTCTTGACCTGAAAACAATCCTTCTTTGAAAAGAGCATTAGTAGCACATTTTTTTTTAAGTTAGGAGGTGTTACATAAAGGTTAGTTTTACTTACCTCAGAGCCTTTGGTCATAGCTCTTTGAATTTCCTGCACTTCTTGCAGGGTAAGGGGTGCTAAATTGTGCTTACAGTTATCGTGGGTGACATTGTATTAGTTGGTCCGCCCATTGTGCATGGCTTCGTTGTCAAACTGCCATGGCCTCTCTAGTAGTAGATGGTCTGCTTGTATTGGGACTACATCACACACAACCTGATTCGAATACTTGCCGATGTAGAATGGAATTGTGACTTATTCATCAATCTTGAGCTCGGTGTCATCGTTGAGCCATCTCAGCTTGTAAGGGTGGGGATGCCTTGCTCTTTGCAAACCTAAATTTTCAACCAAATACTGGCTGGCCATTTTAGTACTAGACACTCCCTCAATTATTAAACTACATACCTTTGAGTTTATGGTGCATCAAGAGTGTAAGCTGTTTTCTCTTTGAACAGCTTCTGGATCAATTAGCACATTGAGGGGTTGATAGCATGCATTATTACATCATATTAGGAACCACTTAGTATAGGTTTTTTATTGCATTTCATCCACTATAAATCCAAAAGTGTCCTATTTACATCCATTTTAGACATAGCATGCATTTAGATTAGGACTGCATATATGCTTGCATATTGAGTGTATTTTCAGGTCTTTAGGGTGCTAAGGAGGCCCTAGGAGAATGGTGAATCAATGGAGAAAAAGAGCTAATCTGTAAGGAGCAGTTCAAGGAGTCCAGAAGCTAGACCGAGGAGACATACCGTGGAGGGCCCTTGTTGTCCCTGCCCGGTGCGTACAAAGTCCGAGGGCAATGAGCGAGATGTTGAGCCGACCATACCATGCAACCGCACCAAGGAGGTTCATGCTAACTGATCCCAATACAAGGAGACAGGACTTACCGTGGATCATACCGAGGAGAGCTACTTGATGTCGTGCATGGTGTGAGCCATGATCAAGCCTTCAGCTGAGCCAAACTCCAGACGCAGACCTTTCAGCACGCACCAAGCACATGTACCATGGAGGGCATGTCTATGTTGTGTTTGGTACAAGCTATTTCCGGGATGTTGACCAAATGTTGACATGTTGAGTAGGGCATTTTTATGTTGACCAAGCCTATTTTGGATCTCACATATAAATAGACTTGGTCCAAAAATAATTATCTTATCCTATTTTTATTGCTTTTTCACATCTAAACCAACAACTTTCTTTCATCTTTGTAAGAATTTTCCTTAAGAAAGATTTGATCTTGAGGGTTTTTATTTAATTTAAGTTTTTTTCTTATCTTTGATCTTTGTCTGTTATCTATTTGCAATCATGTTTAGCCAAGCTTATGGATTTGTGTATGATTAGTGAGTAGTCTCTATTAGGCTTGAGATTAGGGTATATTAAGGTGGTTGATGATTGATTAAAGTGTTAGGGTGTTAGATCTTTGTGAATCTCTTTATGTATAATTGATCTTAGGGCCAAGTATGTCCATTTATAAGAAATAGATCCTAGGCGTTTTTAGCTAGCATTTACGGTGTTTGTTAAAATTCTTGATTAAGGTTCATAGCTTGAAAATGGTGTTTTGATTTTCATGACTCATTGCATCAACAGTTTCTTGCATGATTGATCTTATTACTAGAGTACTTTAGGGATTGATGAATTGTCATTAGACATTGATTATGCATGGAAGTATGAGTTAGTGTTTGACCCATTATACAAGAGATTAGTGTGCTTAGTCTAAGGTCTTAGTTATCTAAGATGCTTTTTGGCTTTATGGACCTTGTTTTTAATGCTTGCTGATTGTGTTTCTACCATTGAAAGTGGGTTAGGAGTATGATTAGTAGAGAGATTAGTGCCAAGAGATTGGATTAGTCTTTATTAGTGGTCCTTTCTTAGATATTGATACATTGATTGTTTGTCTGACACCTTGATCATGATTTAAACCATCCAAGTCACATTTCCTTAATCTTGATCCTTGCGTTTAAATATTTTGAATTTGTTTAGTATAACTCTGTTCTTGCTCTGTTTTGCTTGCTATTAGAATTGATCTTGTTTACATTTTTTAAGCTTTGGTTGCATTGGTTACTTGTTGCACTTATTGCTTGCTTGAGTGTGAACCATTTAAACCCTTTATTGTCTAGCTTTGCAAGTCCATTGCATCTTCTCCATGCCGCCCTTAGCTTGGATTGATATACTTATTTGTCACTATGCTACTGATACAAGATTTTTTGGGACTTGATTCAATTACTCAAGCTTGTACTAATCAATTGTAGTATAGCATAGGGTTTTATCAATCCAAAAGGGGAGAATGAAGCAGTAAGAGTGCAATAGAGCTCTTAATTCAAGCAAACATAGATAGTTTTGATGTCTAACAACCTAAGTGAGCAAGCAAAGAAGCAAAAGAAGGTAGAAGAAAGCAATTAAAGAGCAGTAATGGAAAAGAGAAACAGAGCAAAAACAGAGTAAAAGTTAAACTAAACAGAATAAAAACAAGACTTCAAAGATTAAAAGATGGTTCAAGATCAAGGCAATGCTGATAGGGTGATTCATGTTCATGTCTAGGGTGATCAAAACAAGCAATTCTAAACACTCGACCTTAGGTAAGGAACACTAATATAGTCTAATCCAATCTCTTGGCATTAATCACTTTTTTAATCACATATTCAAGATAAATCTCTTTACTCAAACACATAATCATCAAACATTAAAATCAAGTTCCATAAAACCAATTAGCATGCTAGACATCTAATCTCTTAGGCTAGTTTTACTAATCTCTTATATGATATATCAAACATCAACTCACATTCTCATGCATAATCAATGTTTAAAGGCAATTTCTCATCGATATGGTACTAGGCAATAAGCACAATCAAGCAAGAAATGATAGATGCAAAAACTCATCATTATCAAAACACCATTTTCAAGCATTGAACTTTATTCAGAAATTTCATCATACACTTGGTGTGCATGTGCAAACCTAAAATCAACTTCTCCAACAAAGAGGTACTAAGCATTAAGCACAATCATGTAAGAAAGGGAATGAGAAGATCTAAGCCCTAATCAACCTAAACAATCACTAAAATCACCCCATCTGCCCTAATCTCAAACTCAAAGCAAACTACTCACTAATCATGGTGAAAACCATCAAATCTATGAAAAAAAGATAGTTAATCATGATTAGGAAGACAAAATATTAAGGGAAATGCAAACTTTTATTGAAATAAACAAAGATTCAAATTACAAAATCAAAAAAAAAACCTAAAACAAAGAAGAAGAGACTGCTGGATAAAGAGTTGTTCCCAGAGATTAGGGATTTTAAGTATTTATAAGAGTCTAAGAGAAAATTGCAAAATTGTAAATAAATGGTCTTCAGTCTGGGTCACATCGATCAGTTGCATCGATCAGTGTCGATCGTTGTGAATCCTATCGATGGGCTTCTGCTGGTCAATGCAGGTTGAGCGGTTTTACAAAACTTGCGATATCTGTTGAAGGGCATATCAGAATGACCTAAATCCAAGTCCTCCTGAAATCTAACTCACGTGGCTACAACTTTTAAGAAGAGTGAAGATGCTGAATAGAGACAGAGGCTACTCTTCCGAGCTGATCTTCAAGTCGTTCGAGATCAACGGTAAAAACTGCATATGGATATGTGCTCACTTTATTCGCCGTAACTCTTCAACCACTGATAGGAATGACTTGAAACTAAAACCAAACGAAAGCTAACTAAAGTGGATACAGAGTTGATGAAGGACGCCGAAGCCAAATCGGAATGAAAACACCTCATCTGAGCTGATCTTCAGTTGATCTGGTCCTTCGGGTGATTCCTATCGGTCAAGAGAGTGATCGTTGTAGTGACCGAAATTAATCTGCTGGGTTTATATCGATCACTACTGATCGATGCTGATGATCGATATGCTAGTATCGGTCACTTCTTGATCGATGTTGATGACCGAAAATCTTGCATCGGTCACTTCTTGATCGATGCTCCTGACCGAAAATCTTTCGTGCACAGACCAATAGGGGTTGAGCGGTTTCACGAAAACTTCTGTAACTTTCTAACCGCTGATGGGAATGACCTTAAACCAACTCCATACGCAAGCTAACTCACGGGGATACAACATTTGTGAAGATTGTTGAAGCTGAATCGGGTTGGAGAAGCTTTGTCCGAGCCAGTTTTGTTAGGTGAAGTTTCTGGCAGCTTCAACAAGGTGCACCTTCTTCTTGGCTCTTTTCATGTCTTGTGCTGCATCCACCATCAACTCCCATGCTCCTTGTAGCTCAATGAGTACCTATAAACATCTTTTATGCAAAGAAAATGCAAACTACATCCTAAATGCAACCTAAGTCTAAAAGGAGAAGAAAATGGGACAAAGGATAAGAAAAACATGCAAAAGAGAACCAAAACATGCACTAAATGCAAGCCTAAATGATGTAAATACAAGAGATATCAGCTACGTCTAGTGCAATGAGATTTCACTCAAGACATAAAAAGTCTTGTGTTAGGGCTCTCTTCACGACAAGTAGTTCTCCTACTTCAGGGTAGTTGACTACATCGTCCTCTTAGACTTCTAGCCCTTCATCAGCTTCATCTTAAGACTCATATTCTCTATTGCGTGAAGGATCATAACCCTCTGGTTGGATATTCTCTTCCATAATGTCCTTTATCCTGATATTTAAAACAAGTAATGTCACGAGCTCTAGTATTTTGTTGACTAGGATACTTACCTTGCTCGGATCTAGACCCTTTAGACGTTTCTGGTGCTGGTCACTTGAGCTGTGAGTCCACTTCTATGGACTTTCTTTTGTCCACGTTTCGCTGAGCTTGTGGAGTCCAAATACTCTTGCCTCGTTTTGTAGATGTTGTCTTCCTCTTGATATGTTGTTTGATTTAGATAAACAAATAATTTTTTAAAAAATGGATAAACATATAATTCAACAGCAAACAAATAATTTCTTTTGATTTTCAAATTTAATGGATGCAAAACAAATAAAGAAAAATATAGACATATATATACTTGAGTTTTCTGGAAATAAAGAACACAAAAACGAAAATAAGAACACAAGAACAAAAGTAAAAACACAAGGGATAGATTCACCTGATTGTGGACCCTAAGCTCTGATACCAGATGATATAATATCAAGGGGGTATAATCTTATAATGCTTGGTGAATCGGTGGGAACAAGAAGTTGGTCTAAAGACTCTTTATACTTCTTCAAAAGATGATCGAAGTGAGGCGGTTGTGGAATCAAACCTGCTGGTCTTAAGACTCTTTTAGGCTGGATCAGTGAATGAGATGGATAGATGGGGATTGAAAGACACCACTCAGCTTTATGGGACTAAGCCAAAATAAGTCAAGAACTCAAGAGGCTTCTCACACAATCTCAACTCTGATTTGTTTGCAATTTTGTCAAGAACAAAAAAACAAAATGAGTTTTTTTTATATAAAAATCAAGTGTGAAAAATGCATAGCTGATGAAACCTTATATATGGTTCAAGCAGCTGAGAGCTTTGATGAGGACATCAAACCGCTGAACATACCAGGTGAAGAGGACCTCGATAAGCCATTCGTATCGGGATAAGAGGAGCCAGGACAGACCAACGTACCACCAGTAAACAGCTCACCCATGACACGTTCTAAGACCAGACGATTACGAGAATGATTTAATGAGGCCATACAATTGCTTCTGACCAACATGAACGTGGATAACATACTTAACAACCAACCAAACCCCATTGCACCCGAGATAGACATTGCCGAGAGTTTTGCCAAGATGAGCCTCAAAGATAATTGTACCATTACAAAGCAAGGTATGCACGTTTACTTGACAGGAAATGGCGATCAGATCAACAACAACAATCTCATCAATGCTGTACCGAAGCTGCGAGATACACTAAGTACAAGCCTAGTAGCCGATAGAGCATCATTAGAGCAAGAAGACGATTCAAGCCTTAAACGGGGAGTAACTCTCAAAGACACTTACCAGCTTGACTTCAACGGACATCAGTACGAATAGAACTTCGAGGAACTCACCCCAACAGGACCGGAACAAGAAGCATTCACCAACTTGTCAAACAAGCACCAGGCGCGCCAAAACCAGGTATTTTCAATTTATACAATTTGTGCAGGTAATGAGGCTCGTCTCAATGGTTCATTTTTTTGTTCGAAATTCCATTAGAAAACCCATTACTCTTCTTGGGTTATAAAGGCCCTAAGAGATTGTTTTGCAATTGTGTTGGCTAGCGTATTAGCCTTTCAAGAAATAGAAATGAACTTAACATCAACAAAACACTCAGAAAGATGCATGATATCCTGCAAAATTACGTAGATTTCCGATAGTCTGGAACCCGAGTTGATCGTGTTGACGAGCTGAATTGCGTCAGAGGCGACCTGCATGTTGGTGACTCCTAACGATCAGGCATGTCTGAGAGCTAATCAGACTGCAAGTGCTTCTGCTATCAGCGGCGATGCTACGAATCTATGGGCTTTTGATTCATGAATGATTATGCTTTGATTTGCTTTATGGAAGGTCCATCCCATTCCTCCAATTTTTGGTATGCCTCAATGGTTCTTAAGCATCACAACATGCCAAGGAATCATCAGTTCGACCCACAAACGAGTCGGCATAGTGTAGCTTTTATTTTCTTTTCGTTTAAGTGAACTTTCCTAGTTTGATATTTTTGCGCCTTAAGCGCTTTGTAGTTTCTTTTCTCTTTGTGTTGTCGTTTTATGCTTTTTTGTTTTCGGCCATATGACTAGCTGAGGAGCTATTATAAAGCTCCCCTGCAGCGTTGTATCATTTTTTTATCCTTGATTATCAATAAGGACCGGACTTTCTTCAAAGCTAAAGTCATTGCTTTTGCCTTTGTTCTTACTTGTGTTCTTGAGCGTGTGATTCACTCAAGGCTCGAGTGCTTTCTGTATCAGAGAGTTATTCATCCTCTCTGTGGTGCCATCGATCCACTTCTTTTCCATTCAACCAATCCCTCAAGAGAGAGTGTTCTTGCCAGCTTGACTGATCCCATCTCGACTCAAGGAGTGTACCACACACCTTGTTCTACCATTACCATCCATCAGTAAACACAAGAGAGCGTCAAAGCCAGTGTGTAGACTCCATCAAGCCACTCACTCTGATCTGTGAAACACTCTCATCTGAGTATTACATCATCTGGTATCAGAGCCGAAGATTCTATCTTCGGTTTCTATCCCTTTTACTTTCATATATCCGTTGTAGTTGCATTGTTTTCATTGCTTGCTTGGTTTCTTTGTTTTTCTCATTTAAAAACCCATAAAAATCGCTTGCTTGTTTTATTTAGTTTTATATCTTATAGGTTGTTATTTTAGATCATTTTATGTTGTATTTCATGCATCTTTTCCTCTGTTTTTGCATTATAGTTTAGCATTTTAGTATTATTTGCACTTAGAATCAACATAGCATGCATTTAGCTTAGGATTGCATACATTTGCATACATATGCATGTTTGTGGTGACTTGCCGGTGTTTTTGGGAGAGTTTTGGAGTCGGAAAGGGAATGGAAGCAACTCATGATCGGAGGAGACGCTAAAGAAGCAGCTTTGCAAACTCTGTATCCATATCGAGGTCCAGCATCGAGCAGAACATCCGTGAAGCTTGCTTGGTGTGAAGCGCCAGACGGGGAAGAAGGATTTCTCTGGTGACCTCGAGACTGCACCGAGGTAGTACACCGAGCTAGGCATGCCGTACAAGCCGATACGAATACACAGGACATATCGAGGTGTAGCATCGAGGAGAACACCGAGAATCCATCTCGATATCGAGCTGACTGCATTGAGCAGAACACCTCCCTTTGCACCACAATGTGTCAACGTGGAGAGTTGACAAAGATTTTTCCATTTTTGATCAAACCTTATTCTTTCACTTATTTAAGCTTTTGGCTTATCTTTTTAGCATTTATCTTCTTCTTGACCCTATTTTCGACCTTGTGGGAAACCACAAAGAGATTTTATGAGATTTTGATCAAGATCACTCTTTTAATAAAGTTTTGCACTTTCTTTGTCATTTTTCTTCTAGTTCTTGTTTAATCATGTTTGATCTATCATCTCTACTTAGTTATGTTGATTTCGCTATGTGTTGTGAGTAGTCTCATATGGTTTGAGATTGGACCAGATTTGGGGATGATTGGTTGATAACATAGGGAGTTTTAGTTTGATCCTTGCTTGATTCACCTTGCTTAGTTGTTCTTAAGGTTTGAGTAGATTGTTTAAGTGAAATAGCTTATAGGTGTTTGCTGCATCACAAGTGTTTGTTTAAAAGCCTGAAAGAACTATGCTTGAGATAATTGCTTAGATGATTACATTGCATCTTAGTATATTGTTTGGTCTTTAAGAGCCTTGTGTTTTCATGCTGGTTTTCACAGATACACAATCACAAGTGGGTCTGACATGTGCTTAACTTAGATATTTTTGTTCTTGTTGCAGGCTGATTTTGCACAGATACGCCATCACAAATGGGTCTGATATGTGCTTAACTTAGTTATTTATGTTCTTTATGCGGTTTGATTGAATTAGTGGCTTGATTATGAGTCTTGCTTGTTTTTAGTCTTGATCTCCCTAGGTTTTATACTAAGTAATCCCCAAGTCATCATTGCTCTTGCCTTGAACCAGCTTCATTGTTCTTTGCTTTTCACCATTTTGTGTTCTGTTTTCCTTTATTTTGATTTGCGTTGTTCTTGCTTTGTTCCTTACCTTGCACTTCAAGTTATTGCATTTAGCTTTCAATTTGGTTCTTGCACTTCTATTGCTTTGCATTGTTAGTTCCTTTTGCATTTAGTTTCTTTACAATTGCATCGCTTGCTTTAGTTTTGTTAGTATTGCTTTTCACTTTTGCATTTCATCTTTGTTCACTTAGGTTGTTAGAATCATCCTTCTTCATCATCCATGGTTAAGGTTAGTTAGTGCCTTGCATCTCTTTTATTCTAGCTCCTAGATGGATTGATTAAACCTCATCTATACTACATCTGATTAGAGAGAGATTGAGTTAAGACTTGCAAAAGTCCTTCTTCAGTGTCTTAAGTTTTTATAAAAAGAAAAACCCCAAAAAGAATAGATCCGTTTTGCTTGTTTCATTTTCATTGTTTAAGTTGCTAATTGTTTTTATAAAACCTATAAAACCGATATAAAGTTTTCTCTTTGTGTTATTGCGTGTTACTAGTCATGTCTTTTGATCAGCCTTGTTTGATTATTAGGCCAGTTAATAACCTTTGTTAGTTGTTATTTCGTTGGTATCGTGACGGTTTGTTAAGTGTTGCAAAGTTAAACAAACATTAGCAACATGACTGAGGTAGCAAACGGTGCACCAGCTGATCTAGCTCAGATGTTAGCCGCCATAAGGGAGAACATGAGGAGCATGACCCAAGAGATGGGTACCATTCGCCAAGAGTTTGGATCTCGCATTGAACAGATTGAGCATCAGCCAAGGAGAGCAGCTGTACGGGGAGCCCCAATACCACCAGTAGAGCCAGACACTGAGTTACAAGACATTGATGATGATAACTTTGATCCTCTCATAAGACGAGGACAAAGGAGACAAGATCATCTACAAAGAAACCTAAACCACGAGGTAAATGCTAGAGACAATAATCATGATATCAAACTAACACCTCCTACCTTTGCAGAAAAGTCTAATCTCGAGCTATACTTGGATTGGGAGAGGCGTATGGACCATATATTAGAGTGCTATGGATACGCTAAGCGTAAGAAAGTGGCTGTAGCAGCTGCTAACTTCACGAAGAATACACTTGCGTGGTGGGACAGTACCGTAGCTGAGAGGAGAAGGCAACGGTTTGGTCAAGTGTCTAGATGGAGCGATATGAAATATCTGCTCAAGCAAACGTATGTACCTGAGCATTACCATAGAGACTTACAATAATGTTTTCGTAAGTTATCTCAGGGAGCAAGGAGTGTAAATGAATACTTTGAGGAGTTTTAGAAGCTGATGAATTCTTTCGAGTTAGAAGAATCAGAAGAAGCCTTAATGGCTCAGTTCCTTGATGGCTTACAAGAGCGGATTACAAGAAAGGTGGAGCGAATGCAGTACGGAGGAATGCATGAGCTACTGCATCTCTCGGTACAAGTGGAGCAGAAAATCAAACGTAAGAGTCCCCACTTCAACCGTAGCAAACCTAACCAGTCGTGGGCATCAAGTAGCTCAAAGCCCTTAGATAAGGGAAAGGGTATAGAGATTGATTCTCGCTTGAGCAAGAACACTGAGGCCCCAAAATTCAGCCGACCCGATGATACACTCAGGTTTTACCCAAATAAAAGACTGCAAGAGCACAGACAATCACAGTAATATAGATGGGATCGAATCCACAGAGACCAAGGTTACGCTATGATTCTTAATGAATGAAATGGAGCTAAGACAATGTAATGACTGTTGAATGTAATGCAAAACGAAAATGGCAATTAAAATTCAATAAAAGATCAATTAAAACAAACGTTAGGTAAAAGGCAATTCGCAGGGATCAGAGATCATGAACCAGACAATTATTCAGGGAACAAATAAGCACAGTCTTGAACTCAAACATGAATGTATAGCTAATCCACTGTCGTGGTATCAGAGACTCTATCTAACAACCTAAGATTCTAAACTGTCGTTTGAACTTAGAATTGTAAACAAGCATTAGCGATCAGGTTCGATTTGTTCACAGATTGCCTTAACATCAGCTTTCGTTGGTTAAGGGCATTCTGCTCATCTATGTTCTTTCAGGCTTTTAAACAAACACTTTTGGTGTGCTAAACAACCTAGAATCAGAAACTAGGTAGCTAATCAGGTTTCAGCAATGAGATCAACGATAGATGAAGACAACAATTAAAATAACCTTATCTATGTATGATTCAATAATTCATAACCCCATTGAAACCCTAAACCTAACTGGTGGATTACTCAGACATGGAAGAAGAAAAAAGGCAAAGAGATGAAGAGAAATTCATAAATAATAAAATAGAAATCAACTGGGGTTCAGAAATCTTCTCAGAGATGTTGAGTACAAAGATCGTCTCCCCAAAACTCACAAATTGCCAAAAGCTCTAAGTCTCCATGAAAAAATAAAAGGTAGCCTAAACAATGGCTAAAAATCCAGTCTTTATTGGTCTAAACACGAGCTGGATGAAAAATTATGGAAAACCAAGTCGAAATAGGTAAAACCGAAATTTCCTTATTTTTCTGCGCGACCAAACCGGCTGGTTAAGGCATCGGATCGATCGGTCCAAAGTTGGATCGATCGATCTAGATACTCTCGGAAAATCCTGGTCTCATCGGATCGATCGGTCCCTCCTGGATCGATCGGTCTAAAATGTCTCGGGGAAACTTCGACCAAACGGATCGATCGATCCAATGTGGGATCGATCGATCTAAAATCCTTCGGGCAAATCTTGTCTTTCGGATCGATCGATCCAGTGTGGGATCGATCGATCTAATATCTCTCGGGCAATTCTTGTCTCCTCGCTTCCTTTGGATCGATCGATCCAATATAGGACCGATCGATCTGCACTCCGGAAAAGACTGAATTTGCTCCATTTCTTCATTTCTTCCTTTGCACTGCCTTGGAATCCATCCAAACGTGTTTTGACCTGTAAAGACTCTAAAAACACTAAAAAGACTCGATAAAAACCTTTGAAAGTCAGTTAGAAATCAGTAAAATCATAGTATATCAACTCCCCCAGACTTAGCATTTTGCTTGTCCTCAAGCAAATACTGAGTAAGGAAAAGAGGTTTGAAAACATAGAAGTCATGAACTCTCTCAAACCCCACCTTTTTTATCAACACCCTTGAACCCACATGCTATAGAGCCAACTTTAGATAATGTGTCAGTATACATACCGCAAGTCTAGCAATCATCCCAAATGAATTCAGCATTCCTTAGAGAAATCTGAGCTCTCCATTGTTGACCCCTTCAAGTTATTTTTGTGCTGTCTCAGTCGAGGGAATATCGATCAAAGAACTTACAGATTCTTTCCCTTCCAAGCTCTAAATCAGACAGTCTCCAGTACAAATCTCCTATTTTCTCTCCCCTTAATCGATTCTCCCTACTTGAGGGTATCATCTCATTTTTTTCTTTTTCGACTTTCTTTTATTTTGTAGCCCAAGAAATGGTGCTGCTCTTTACTTGTGTTCCTTGTGAGGAGACAGGTTCAAGAGTGCTCACTACTTGTGTTCCTTGTTAGGAGACGGGTTCGTGAGTGCACCATCCTTAGACTTAGTCATTCTTTCTTCTTTTTTTTTTTTACAAGGGGAGATCAAAGAGACTGTACCAAACTTATCTTCATTAGTGCTGAAAGAGGAATCAAGTTCAATGCATGCCAAGCCCCAAGAAGAGAATTTCGAAATTCATTAGGGCGGAGTCAACGTTGGATCCTTCAGACTCTCCAGAAACGTGAACTTTCTCTGTTATGTTGATCCACTTTTAGCGTTCTACTTAACAGAATCTGCGGTTAGCTGTTGTAGCAATGGTCCTTCAAGTGTCAATGTAGAGCAGTTAGTTAAAGAAAAATCCATGACATTCAAACATAGTTTTGACTCAATAAAAACATCTTGGACTAACTCTAGAGAAAACAAACCAAAGCAACCAGCATTAGTACCAGCAAATACTCTCCCCCAGACTTACTTCAAACCGTCTCGGTTTTGAAAATAAATCAGAAGAAGAGTATGACAAAAGCAAAAAATACATGAAAGGGAAAATGATATAAAACAAGGGAAATGATACTACTCTCAATGGTCGCTCTCTGAAGTAGCACTCTGGGTCTGTCCGGTAGCACGTCTGCGTCTGCGCCGAAGGGGGGGAACATCCTCGGAATCTGGTTCCTCATCATCAGCATCCATATCTGGCTCCTCAGCAGCTGTGTCATCTCTAGTCTCTGTAGCCCTGAAACAGGAGGGTGGTCGTGGACAGCTGAGCTTCGCCAAAGCTCCCAAATCTTCTGCATCATGGAGTTGTTCTTCCGCTGAGAGTCAACCATCCAAGCCCATCGGTCTGCCTCTGAAACATCTGGAGCAAGGGGAAGGAGGTCATACTGACCAGCATAAGGAGGGAGCAGGGACTCCATAGACTGGCGGGCTGCAGATGCAGTGAAAGGGTCCTGAGGGAATGTGTCTGGTGCAGGAGCATCCTCATAGTGCGGTGGGTGGGCGCTAGAACGAGATGAGCTACCTCTGCGTCTAGAAACTGAGGCCATGGTCGGGTTCGGGCATAAGTGGACAGCATCAGGTAAGAACTCCAAGTTAGCCCGCGAAGAAAGAGTGGTGATGTCGTTGTTAGGAAGCTGGCAGTACAACTTCCGACCATCCCTGTCCTGAAACTGATACTTGTAGCCTGGCATGAGGATCCCACTGGCTCTGAAATGCTCCTCATTGAGGAGCCTCTGTGTATCAATCCTCTCTGTGGAAGTAAGATCAATATCATGGTACCTGAAAATGAGAGTCAAAAGGCTACCAATCGCCTCAGTCCGAGATATGGAAGTGGTAAGGCCTCTGAACTTCTTCCCCACGAGGACATGAGCAAACAAGTATCCAAGGTTTGTGCGAAGAACCGGTGGTGGTGGTAGGCTGTAAATGCTGCTGGCAAAGGAGGGCAACCCGTAATGTAGCATCAACAACTCATCTTTCCTCAAAGCACCTGGCTCCTCCTTGCCAAACATAATGTTGCCTAGGATCTTAGCAACCACTCGAACCACAGGGATCCTGATCAATGTCAGCTTGGCCTCTCGAGACTCAAAAAGGCCTGTCCCAATCACTGGCCACAACTCAGTGATCTGTATAAAGTCAGTCGGGATTCTGCACAACTCCTGCCTATAATCAAATCAAAACAGCTCACATAAGGCAGGAATGGGTATCTCATAGTGAGCACCTCGCAGAAGGTATGTGAGAACTCCCTCACTAGCAACAGGATGCAAGGGATCCGTGAAATAGAGCTCTGCTGAAGCAAGGAACTGACGGACTAGCTCCGGGTAGAGGGGGTAGTGGTCATATGCAATCCGTCCCATGCCTATCTGCTCGAGCATCTCATAAACATCCTCTTTGATCCCCATCCTACACAGAGTCCTAGCATCCACAATCTGAGTGGGGACAAGACTAACCTTCAGCAGCCCATTGTAGAAGGCGCTATTGTAGTCCTTCCACGGGTAACCTCGCCCGCGGTTCACGTAGCTTTGTGACTTCTTGATTTGAGCCACTGTGACGTCATTGGGAAGTCTGGACAACACGAAAGGTCTGGCGTCAGGGCGAGGCCAGGGAGCCATGCTGAAATACACTTCTTCTTCCTCATCTGGTTCTGAAGCACGGGATGAGGAGGCGGCAACAGATTTGCCTTTGTGCTGCTGCTGTGTCTTCGAGCCTCGTGTTGGCTGCTTCCTGCTGGATCCGGCGGGATCATTTGTCCTCACCATTGTCTGCAAAAACAAACAACATACCATATTTATCCAATATTTCACAAAGAGAGAGGCAAAATTTTCAGGAATTGACAAACTGGAACAATGCTTGACACAATCAATAACCAAATGAGGCAATGAGGCATAAACAATCCAGTAACAGTATCAAGCAACATATTTTCGGATCAATCCCGAAAAATAAACCCATTTTCGCACTATTCACCATGAAAATTCTCAAGCTCAAGACAAATCACCAAAAATAGCAGATTAAGGCATGGAAAGGGTCGGGTTCAATCCTAGAACACTATAGTAAGCCACGATTTCATTCAAAACCTCTCAAGAACCCGAAAATTCTAACCTTCAACCATTTAGGACGAATTGAAAAAGTGGTGAAAGAGTGTCATATCTTTGCAGATCGAGTGAGATGATTAGATAAACAGATAGAGGATGAAAAACCGAGCAGAATGGACCCAAAAATCACCCAAATCCGTTAAGAATCGAAGAAGTTATGGGGTTTTGAAAATTCTTCCCAAAATCACCAAGAACACTCGAAGGGGGAGAGGAGAAGAAAAATCCGATTTTGATCCAAAATGAGATTTTTTTTTGTTTTAAAACGTGTTTTCTCGGTTTGGTTTAAGTAAAATAAACCAAATAAAACCCATAATTGATCAAAAACGAGAATCGTGGGCTTACCTGGGCCACGGATCGATCGATCCGAATTCGGATCGATCGATCTAAATACTCTCGGGTCGATCTGCCTTCTTTGGATCGATCGATCTGATATAGACCGATCGATCTAAATACTCTCGGGTAAAACTCCAACTTCCCGATCGATCGGTCTATTTCTGGACCGATCGATCTAAATTCTCTCGGATCGTTCTCGTTCTGTAGGATTGATCGGTCCCCCTGTGGCTCGGTCGATCTGTATTTTTTTTTTTTTTTTTTCATGAAAACTAAATAATGAATGTTAGAAGAAAAATATGAAATGAAATATACACACTTACCAGTGGGTTGCCTTCCACCAAGCACTTGTTTTAAGTCCCGAGCTTGACTTTGGTTGCCTTTTAGGCTGGAAGTGCATCACTTAGGGGAATGGTTTCCCCTTAAGTGATATCGGTATCAGCAAGATATGGCTTGAGTCTCTGACCATTGACCACAAAATCCTTCCCTTGTGGGTCCAAAAGCACAATGGCTCCATAAGGGCGCACTTCCTTAATTGTGAAAGGGCCTGACCATCTTGATCTCAACTTCCCAGGAAACAGCTTCAGGCGAGAATTGAAAAGTAAGACTTGGTCATTTGCAGCAAAACTCCTTGGAATGATCTTCTTATCATGGTATGCCTTAGTTCTCTCCTTGTAGATCCTAGAATTCTCATAAGCCATGTGTCTGATCTCATCCAGTTCATTCAGTTGTATCAGCCTTCTTGCAGAGGCAGGTTTGATGTCAAAGTTCAACAGCTTGACAGCCCATGCTGCTTTGTATTCTAACTCCACTGGAAGATGACATGATTTCCCATAGATGAGGTGGAATGGGGTCGTGCCTAAAGGTGTCTTATAAGCAGTCCTATATGCCCAAAGAGCATCATCCAACTTGACAGATCAATCCTTCCTAGTTGTGTTCACAGTCTTCTGCAAAATGCTTTTGATCTCCCTGTTAGAAATTTCGACCTGGCCACTTGTTTGGGGGTGGTATGGCGTGGCCACCTTGTGCTTGACTCCATGTTTCTTCAGCAGACTTTCAAAGACTCTATTGATGAAGTGAGAACCACCATCACTGATCACAATTCTAGGAATTCCAAACCTTGGAAAAATCACTGATTTGAACATCTTCAAGACCACTTTTGCATCATTAGTTGGACTGGCCATTGCTTCAACCCATTTAGACACATAGTCTACTGCAACCAAAATGAACTTATTCCCATAAGAGGATGGAAATGGTCCCATGAAATCGATATCTCACACATCAAACACTTCCACTTCCAAGATGAAGTTCTGAGGCATCTCATTCCTTTTGCTGATATTGCCTTGTCTTTGGCATGAATCACACTTAGAGACAAAGGTATGTGCATCTTTGAACATTGTTGGCCACCAGAAACCAGCTTGCAAAGCCTTGAAGACAGTCTTGAAGGTAGCAAAGTGTCCTGCATAACTGGAACCATGACAATGAAACAGAATGCCTGGAACCTCCTCTTCTGGTATGCATCTCCTGAAAACGCCATCAGCACATTGTTTGTATAAGAAAGGCTCATCCCAAAAGTAGTGTCTGATGTCTCTTAAGAACTTCTTCTTCTTGTACCCAACAAAACCGGCAGGTTCTTTCTCTGCAGCCAGGTAGTTTGCAATGTCCCCAAACCAAGGCATTGTGGAGTGTGTTGTGGTGCTAGGTGATGTATGAACAGCAGCCATGTACCCAAGGTTGATGGCATACACGCGCTCTTCAGTAAAGTCATCATCCAGAGGAACTGATTCCTCTACATGCATCCTAGAAAGATGATCTGCAACCCCATTTTCAACTCCTTTCTTGTCCCTGATCTCCAGATCAAACTCTTGCAACAGAAGTATCCATCTCAGTAGCCTAGCCTTGGCATCCTTCTTTGTCAGCAAGTATCTCAAAGCAGCATGATCAGTATGCACAATCACCTTAGACCCCACAAGATATTGTCTGAACTTGTCAAAAGCAAACACTATAGCAAGAAGTTCTTTTTCAGTTGTGGCATACTTGCATTATGCATCATCCAGGGTTCTGCTAGCATAGTAAATGACATGAAGCTTCTTGTCTTTCCTCTGTCCTAAGAGGATCCATAGACTGAAAAGTCATCCATGAAAACCTCCATTATGTCCTCAATATAGTCAGTGAAAATTGACATCATACAGCGCTGGAAGGTGGCTGGGGCATTGCACAAACCAAATGGCATTCTGCGATAAGCAAAAGTTCCATAAGGACAAGTGAATGTGGTTTTCTCCTGATCATCTGGGTGTATGGGAATCTGAAAGAAACCAGAATAACCATCTAGAAAACAGTAGTAAGGATGGTTAGCCAATCTCTCAAGCATCTGATCAATGAATGGCAAAGGGAAATGATCTTTACGAGTTGCAGCATTCAACTTTCGATAATCTATGCACATCCTATGCCCTGTAACAGTTCTAGTTGGAATCAACTCATTTTTATCATTCTTAACAACTGTCACACCACCTTTCTTTGGCACTACATGGACAGGACTAACCCAACTACTGTCAGAAATAGCATAGATCACTCCTGCTTCTAGAAGTTTCATTATCTCCTTCTTAACAACATCTTTTAGATTTGGGTTTAACCTCCTCTGATGTTCTATAGAAGTCATTGATTCATCTTCTAGATGTATCCTATGCATGCAAAGATCAGGTGAAATTCCTGTGATGTCATCTAATGAATAACCTATGGCTCTGCGATACTTTCTAAGTTCACACAAAAGTAAAGCAGTTTCAGCATTGTTCAGTTTAGCATTAATGATGACAGGATAAGTGGAGTTAGGACCAAGAAAGGCGTACCTTAGCCCCTCAGGAAGTGTTTTGAGCTCTACTTTTGGAGCTTTCAGCTCACTCCACGTGGATGCTTGTGGTTCTGGTTGAGTCTTTGCTGGATGTGCACATTCAACTCCATCAAGACTGAGGTGGGCGACCATTTTCTCTATGGTTCTGCTGGA